CATGTACTTGTTTGGTGTGCAGATGTCTTGCAGAAACTGCCCTAGCTGGGGTCATGGGATCTACTTGGCTTCTCGACAGTTTCCATTATGAACCCGGACAAGAATTCCTTTCTTTCATTTAGTGATTGTCTGTGCATAGTGGGGGTTGGGGCCTCCGCTTATGGGTTAAATCAGGGGCTGAGATTAAAAATGTGGCTTCCTAACCTGCCTGCCTCACCCGTGGGCAGGCCCTGAAACGCCAGGCCCCATCTGCCAACTTCTCTTCAGGCACCTCCAGCACCTGCACCCAATGCACCGAACTGGTGATGCTTAAGGAACCGTTTCACAAATGTCCTCCCCCTCCATCAGCAAAAGAAACCAGTCACCCCCTGCACCCTGCCATGGGCTAGATCTTCACCAGGAGCAGAGCTGCTGCACCCAGCACCCGCACGGGGATCCCCCACGCTCAGGCTACGGGGGCCCTGCACCCGCACGGGGATCCCCCTCCCCCCGGGAGAGAGGGGCTCGGGTCTGATAAGAATCGTCATCCCACTGGCAACAGGGACGGGGATTGTTGCCATGGGAACCCTCACAGACTCAGCCACCCGCCTGCTTCCGTTCCGTTGCCTTCCCACAATGCATTATGTTCCAGCCGTGTTGGAGCTTCCTGATTGGAGGGACCCTTGGGAGCGATCTCAGAGAGAGGGGCCGGTCTGGCCCGGGAGTGAGGGGACGTTGCGTTGCCGTGTTCCTCCTCTGTGTCCCAATGGTCGCGCCCAAGGAGCCCGGCCCGGTCGCGGAGAAGCGTCTCCCACTTCGGGCAAGTGGTGCGTTCCGTGTCCCCCCTCCCGAGCGGATGGTAAAAGCCTAGAGAGAGGAGGAACCTATCACCCGCTCGGGAATAGGAGACGTTCGGGGGAGGGCGGGAGCGTGGGTTTGTACCACTCCCTGCACATGGTGCGCTCCAGTCCCCGCTCCCCCGGCCTTTGCCAGCCCAACAGCCTTAGCCGCCTGGTACCTGCTTATCTCTCAACCAAACTTGCTATCCTGGCTCGTTCCTATTGGCTCTTCGTTGTATTAATATACAAATATGGTGACTCCAATACCCAATGGCAGACGGGCAGGTAGTTAGCATTCAAGACCACGGGTGGTGACTGGTTGGCTGGTCTCCAGCCGTCTGGCCAGCGGGTTCGGCTGCCCCCTTGCCGCGGCAGGAAGAGGAGGGCGGCATGGGCGGCGGGGCGGGGCTGCGCTGAGCTGAGCAGGAGCCGGGAGCCGGAGATGGGGGCGGCCGGGGCCCGCTGGGCGCCTGGGGCGGCTCTGGTGCTCGCGGCCCTGCTGGGGGCCTCGGGAGCCGGCCTGGCCGACAACGTGATCTGGGCAGTGAACGCGGGCGGCGAGGCCCATGTGGACGTGAACGGCATCCACTTCCGCAAAGACCCGCTCGAGGGCCGGGTGGGCCGAGGTGAGGCCCCGGGCGGAGGGAGCCGGAGGCCTGGCCACGTCCCGCCTCCCTCCGACCTGTTCTCGTCATCTCCTCTGAGCTCCCGCCGGGCCCTTCCCGCTCCCCCTTCGCCCCGCAGGCCCCGTCCTGCCGCGCTGCCCCGCCAGCGCGACCAGCCCGGCCTGTGGCACCCGCCGCCCACTCTGCGCGCGGCCCGGGCCCGGTCCCGGTCCCGGTCCGGGGGGCTCCGTGCCATGCGGCGGGCGGCGTGAGGTGGTGATAGGCGCGCGTCTGGAGGGCACTTAACCCTCCCCCTCGGGGCTCAGCCGGCACCCCCCGGCTGCCCGCCGCGCCCCGTGGCGGGCTCGGTGAGCGCTAGGAGCAGGGGCTAACGGGGCCGTCTGGAGCCGGGCTAGACGCTTTCCCGCGCCCCTGGCCGGGGCTGTTTGGAGGCTTCTGGCTCAGGTGCGGACCGGGGCCTGCTGCCCACGGCCCCTAGCCAGGTATCTCTCAAAGGAGGACTAAAGGGGCGACTCCATCCGTCTAGGACTTCGGAGTCCTGCTGGCTTGGGCCAGTCAGCACTGGATGGCCGGGGACCGTGAGCAAGCCCTGGGGGGCTAAACTCCCGGGTGCGGCAGCCTTACATGTCCTCAGTGCCCTAGGTTAGCCCGCCACCCCTTTTGCCTTGTTTGTCCCCTCCTGCTTCCTCCTGGCCTCTCTCCTCACCTCTTCCTTTCCCCATCTGGAGCCCTTGGCTGCAGGGTGAGGGGCTCCTCTGGAGGAGTTCCCTATCACAGCAGTTCTTGTCTCCAGTCACCCAGCAAGTGGTGAACCCTCCTCTTATCTGTTAAAGTGATCAAGGTTCCCCTGCCCCTCCGCTTCTCTTTGACTTGGTTGCCATTTTCCTGTTGATAGCCTCAGCACTTGCCATGCTGGGTACCCATTCTGCTCCTTCCTTCCCTGTTCTGTAACTTCCAGTCACAGGGAGGAGGATTTTTGTTAGGGGGGTGAAGAGAGACTGGTACTCTTTAGTACCTTGTCACATGCTGTGAGCCATGTGGCAATGGAAGGCTACTCCCAGCACTGTGCCCTTCCTTCTCTCTAGATGAGGAAGGGGACTGGGCTGATAGTGCTTTTGAACTGCATGTGAACTTGTATAACACTCAGAGCTACCTGTTCCTGCCACCATGACACACTCTGGCCAGGTGCATACACGAGAGCACCTGTTTGTAGAGATGCAGAGTCTGACTTTACAGCATGTGCTCTGTTTCAGCAGGCAGGGGAGAACAGTTGGGAGGTTGGTGTCTTCCACCTCTGATTATGTCATGAGTCTAGCATGTGATCCTAACTGAGCAAAAGTTGCTTATTTGTTCATATCTGAATAGCTGCACTCTTCTTGAATGCTAGGGCATTAGTGTCTGTCTCATTGAGAAGAGTCTAGATCTAACTTCTGAGAGGGTAGCCTCCAATGGGGGAGAGAGAAAGAAAATGAGCACTCTAGGGACCCTGCATCAGACCTCACAGGAGCAGACTGTTTGAGCTCTCTGTGTTGTCCATCAGAAAGCTGTAAATATTAAAGTGATACTTATCAGCAACAAGAACTTTAAAAGCGGCAAAGAGTCCTATGGCACCTTATAGGCTAACAGACGTATTGGAGCATAAGCTTTCGTGGGTGAATACCCACTCCGTTGGATGCAGCTTTAAAAGAAGTTATTTAGCTTCTGTTTAACAAGGCCTGGGGTGGGGGGATGCCCACAGGAGGTGATAGACTACTATGTTGGCTGTAGCCTGCAAAACTGACTTGCAAAAAAAACACCTCTCTGTTGAGCATGCCCAGTGTCTCACCTGAAATATGGTAACTCCCTGCTAACTGGATGAGACTTGCAGGGTTTTGCCTTGTGAAACTTCAAGTTCTCTGCTTTAGATTTAAGGAATGTCATCTGAGGGGGAGTCCTGTCCTTATGGACTGAAGTGGAACTTACTATTGAAAGGTGATGCCAGTTTGGTAGCCTGACCACTGAACAACATGCAGCAACTTGCTTTTTCCAGAGAAAGACTCCAGTTTCCTCAGCAGGGGCTGTAAGTTTGAAGCCCAGCTGGGAACAGTCTCAGTGAGACAAGCACAGGGTTCAGGCACTTTCCACAGCTGAACTGCATGTTGTATGGTGGCAGCACCCATTACCCAATGATGGAATTCTACCAGGAGCAGCAGGGCTGAGCACCTGCTGGTGAATGAGGAACCCTAGTACCTATTGCATGGGAGGTCACGGTAAATGAAAATGTGGCTGTTGGATCCCCCACCATTTCTGGCAGCGTTCTACATTAGCTGTGCCCTGGGCGAAGGCAGTAAATGGGGATACACTAGTATGGGGTATGTGCCACTGTTGTAGCTGCTGAAGCAGTGAAATCAAAAATCCACCAGAGGGTGTAGGACATAGAGTATGTTGCAGCTGCACTTTGGATCCCCAGTTCTAGGGTAGGGGAGGAGCCAGTCAGCTCTTAAGCCTCCTGAAGTGAGATGCTGGTTTCTTTATCTGCCCACAGCATGAATAATGTCTGCTGCAGTTTCCACGGTATGCATCTGATGAAGTGAGCTGTAGCTCACGAAAGCTCATGCTCAAATAAATTGGTTAGTCTCTAAGGTGCCACAAGTACTCCTTTTCTTCTTGGGAACCAAGTTACAGTTCTCCTTTGCCCACTTCTGGATGTTCTAATATGATGATGGCTGAAGGTAAAGACCACGATCCCTGTCTAGTCAGGTACTGTGACACACAGCGTCAAACACTGCGATCCAGATTCAGGCTGTGTCTACACTGCACACCTTACAACGGTACAGCCGTGCCACTGCAGCTGCGCTGTTACAAGGTAAGCAGTGTAGCTGCTCTTTATCGCAGGTAGAGCGCTCTCCTGGCAACAAAATAAAATCACCCCCAAAAAGGGGAAGTAGCTTCATTGGTGGGAGAGCAGTTCCTGCCGAGGAATCGCTGTCCACACAGATGCTTTTTGTCGTTAAAACTTTTGTCATTCAGGGGGGTGTTTTTTCACACCCCTGAGTGATAAAAGTTTTAACAACAAAAGTGTAGTGTAGACAAAGCCTCAGTGTTGCAGATGCTGCTGGACTTCTAAAGCCTTGTCTGTGGTGTGGAAATTGCCTGCTGCTAATGGTGGCAGCACAATATCACTTAGCAGCAATTGTGACAAAGGACTGTGTTAAGATACACCCATTATTAGCAACAAGTACCTCTTGTGGTGCAGACAAGGTGAATTACCCATTCAAGGCTTGAGTCTCCTGCCTATCACTGCTAGAGCTGCAACATACAGTATTGATGCAGCTCTCCTTGCAGTGATGGTGTCACTACTTACACAGTGCCCTAGATGTGGTTGGCCCTTCACACACAAGTAATAGCCCAGAGGAATTTACCATTTAAATGTGTGTACTCTGTAAAGCTTATAAGCTTTTAGTTTGCCCCACCAAAGGCTTATCTGCTGGTGACCTGTATTTCACTAGCTGTAGGTGTTCAAATATCATTATTAATTTTGAGGGGAGGCTGACCTACAACTGTATGATTAACACTTGCAGATGCAACCTGGAGGAGAATGCTAATCTGGAGAAAAAAAAAAAAAAAAGGTTCCCTTTCAAACTGCAGCAGTTTTGTGGTTTGCTCCTCCCAAAAGAGTGTTTGTTCATGGTGCCTCACTGAACAGCAGCCTGTTACAATAACCCTGCTGCAACCACAGTGCCCGGCTCAGCAAGTAAGACTTTAACCCATGAACTCAACTGCTATCTTGCTTCTCCCTCAACGGTTTTTATTACACCATCATTTTGGTTCCCTCAGTTACTCATTCTGCTCCCACTTGTGTAGATGGGCAGGTAATGGCTGCAGCAGAAATCCTGCTGCTGATGGTTTAAAAGTCCTGGGATGGTATTTTAGGGTTGTTTCCCTCAAACCTCAAATTCCGATCCTGGGACTTTAGGGAGAAAGTATAGCTAAGGGATTTATAGCATATCCAGATGCCAAACAAATGAAGATAGTGGCTACTTTTGTTACTTTTAATGTGCAATGGTTTGTTTCTGTCTTGGTGCTTCAGTCATTCTTCACCATAACTAAAATACAGCTAATTCAGATCCACTTCCATTGCATCATACAGAACTGCAGTATACAAATTTAACTAATCATTTGTGTGATTGGATGAATTCACTCAGATGGTCGCTATCCCAGCCTGATGACAAACTTCGTTTCGCTGCAGGCTTGTCTCTAACCTGCAGCATTAAATAGGAGTTGAGCTAGTGTTTATGAGCTATTTGGACTACTATAATTAGTTAACTTGTAGCTGGAAAAAGGGATGTATTTACATCAGGATGTGAAAACAGTGAGAGCTCTTCACCTCCTGTGGTTCTGATGATCAAGCCCCCATGACCCTCACTTGTGGTTACAGAACAATAGAAGTCTTACCCCAGGGTTCTCACTGTGTAGAACTGGTGTTAGTTTCCTCTCAGTCATTTCCATGGGCTTGGATGTAGGTGCTGGGCAACTGGGGAGAGCTTTTGGCTTACTCTGCATTGGCCAACCCAAACCAATGTCTGTTTCCATGGAAATGGGAGTGGAAATAGTAACTGTCAGCTGACATCTAAATGCTAGATCAGCTTTCACTGCTGACTGGAAGTGCCAGTTGTGCAGATGCCATCCAGAGTCTCCCCTATTCCATCCGATGGGAATAGCATTTTAGATTGTAAGCTCTTTAGGGCTTATGCCAACTTACGGGTTTGTAGAGTGCCCAGTACAATAGGGCCCTAATGCTGATTGAGGCCCCTGATTTCCATTATGATACAGATATTAAACAAGGAAGGGCAAACAAGTATTTAACCTCCATGATTGCTTCAGATACCAGCACAGCTAGAAGCATTCTTCAAAGATTCTTCATTGTGTGGTGTACGGATAACTGAAGTAAAGACTCACTGCACGCATGTGGCTCTGATGTATACCCCATGAAATCGTATGAGATAGTTTGCATGGTCATCAGAGCCCTCGGGTGCGCACATTCTTATTGATTCAGGTTCCCTGTGTAGTGTTTGAAGGATTATTAGCAAGAAGAAAGGGGTTTTATTAAGATCCCTCTAATACACGCAACACTCTCCCAGCCTGTATGTTTTCTCTTAGATGGAACATGGCTTTTGTAATTAGGTTTTTAATTTCAAGTCAGTTGCAGGAGATGGGATTATATTTTCTGAGGTAACTCAGTTCTAAATTGACTTCATTTCATTTGTGCACTGCATCATGTTGGTTAAAACATTAGAAGTTCTAAGGGCATGTCTACATTTACCTGCGGAGCAATCAATCCAGGAGGGGTTGATTTATCGTGTCTCGTGAAGATGCAATAAATCGACTGCCGAGCGCTCTTCAGTTGACTCCGGTACTCCACTGGAGCGAGAGGCGCAGGTGGAGTTGATGGGGGAGCGTCAGCCGTTGACTTACCGCAGTGAAGACACCGCGGTAAGTAGATCTAATACGTCAACATCAGCTACGTTATTCATGTACCTGAAGTTGCGTAACTTAGATTGATTTCCCCCCAACCCTGCAAGTGTACACCAGGCCTAAGTGCTCTTTCTTTAGAGAAGTCTGAACTCTTGGCCAAGTCCTCTGATGGTGTAGGCCTGGCTTGACATAGGTGAGGCCTTATTTCTTGGGAGACAGGATTAGGGAGGTAAATGGATCAGCGGGCTGGAAACAGAATGTCTGTACTAGCTAAGATAAGGGGAACACGCAGGGAACCATGTACAATGGACGGGATAACAAAGGATAAGATAAACCTGGAATGTAAGTTGAGGTAAAGAGTAAGTTATGCATGGACAGTGCGTGCTGTACAGGGTTTGGTTCCTACAGAGTGATTTAAGCCATCCCAAAATGTGTGATGCAGTGTAATTTGTAAACATATATAAAGGAAGATATTTGCTGTATAACTTCTGGATGTGTGGTATGCTGTATACACATCCCCTATCTTTGAGTCTGATCAATGTAGCTTTACTATATGCCAAATAAAGGAAGCTGAGAAATGATACTGGAGTCGAACTGAGATCTTGGGGAACCAAGTGGAAGAGGTCTCGGGGGAACCCCAACACACCCAGTCGTGAAATAGGACTTCGTCTCTGCTAACTGGCCTGGAAATGGTTGCTCTTCAGAACTGTGTTTCTGTAGGATTCAGTTTTCCTCAGGTTCTGGGTTTCCTCCAGCCACTGCTCAACCTGCCTCCCCTTCTGATGTACTGAATTCAAAAAAAGTATGGCTGTTGGTAAAGTGGGGTTGGGGACACTTGAAAGAAAGTAGTGCCCCTCTTCTCTGCGCCCCCCCCCCCATTGGTCAGAATTAGTGGGGACTATGGGGCCTCAAGAGAATTGGTCCTCTTGCAGGTGCTTGGAGGTTGTTTATAGAGTTGTCTTCTGCCGATGCCGCAGAAGTTAATCCTTGCATTCTTGTTGATTTTATATTTGGAACCCAGCCTCTGACTATGGTATGAAGCTGCCAATCTTGCGGTCCAACACAGAGGATCAGATTCTGTACCAGACTGAGCGTTACAACGAGGAGACCTTTGGGTATGAAGTCCCCATCAAGGAGGAGGGTGACTACGTTGTGGTGTTGAAGTTTGCTGAAGTCTATTTTGCACAGTCCCAGCAGAAGGTAAGCTAAGTCTACCCCTGACCCAGGATCCTTACTTGGTTATCTCTGATGATGCTAATTTCTGTCTAGGGCTGTGTATGCCAGGTTCCTGTGACATCCTTTTGGGGAGTTCAGGACGAGAATCGCCTTGTTACCCCCTGCGGAGGGTGAGAGTCTCATGGGAGCTAACCTCTGCGTCAGTTCCCTACACTCTGGTCTGCTAACCACCCAAACAGCCTCCTCAAAAGCTTTGCCAGCCTTTGCTTTGCCTTACAGGTAAACCTCAGGTGCACTTCACTGCCCGAAACTCCATGTGGAGTGTTCCTCTGCAGTATCCAGCCCCTGTCACTGGACAGTCACAGAAATTACCAAGTCTTCTGTCTCTAAAGAGGCATATTACACACTCAGCTGAGGATTCACCCTTAACAGCATTCAGATGAATTTATAGCAAAACCAAGAATAAGTGTATTTGGAACAGAGATGTAAGTGATACTGAGTAAAGATAGTGGAAACAGATATGGTTACGAACAAAATATTAACATGCTTCTAAGAGTCTAACCATAACTTTAGTGAGCTATAGTCCTTTGGCTGAAGCATTTTTCTTACCCTCAAAGTCCTTTCACAAAGTTTATGGATTTTCAATTAAACCAGGATCCAGATTTTTCCTGAATCTCCCCTCTACCAGGTGTGTGTCTCAGTGAAATGAGTCCCCAGAGACTCCAGCAAATCTTTGAAGTGTATTCTTTTGAAGGGTAACCCTAGATAAAGTTCTTGTTCCCTGCTGGCATGCATGTGCTGTGTTGTTCATGATGTCTTTCTCATCCTTTTGTTAATTTGCCTTTCCTTTGACTTAATATGCAAATGAAGGTTGCTTATGTTGGCTTTTACCATGCTCGGTTTACATTGGAGAATTAGGCAGACAGGTTAATCAGTATTCCTTTGTCTAGGAACACCTTGTTTATCAGTCATGCCTGCTTTGCTGGGTTTAGACATATTTTCAGTATACACCTGCCATTCTTAATTGTTCTTAATGATTATGATGACCAGTATGATATAAGTTTTCATTTGATACCTTACAGGACATTTCTTTATAGATAAATACCATGACTGGAATAGTGAGTTTGTCAGGCCTGATAGTTGCTGTTACATGACTGTGAATCCTTTGCCAGTGGGCATTAAGGGGCTCTTAGGGTCACAGCTCCCCTCTGCCTTCTTGCACATCACCATCTGTTATGTGTTTTATATATATGGGTAGGAGTAGCCACAGAATGGGATAAAAGAAATGTACTGAGGGTTACAGTCCTCTCTAATGTAACTCCACTGACCCCAGTGGAGTTGCCCCAGGGATGAACTTGTTTCTAAGGATGCATTCCAAAGTGATACTGAGCTCCCATATCAATTTCTAATATAAAGTAGAGCTGGATGTACTTGTTTGTGAAGTCATGTCTTCAACTGACTTTATATAGCGAAATGTGACTGACGCTAGACTTTTGTATAACACCTTTCTTCTGGAGACATCAAAGCACTTAATGATTCTTGCCCACCTTTGTAATTCCCATTTTGCAGTTGGGAAAACTGAGGCACACGGGGGTCAAGGCCACACAATAAGTCAATGGAAGAGCTAGAATTAGAACCCTACTTCTGATTCCTAGTCTTGTTCCTTGTCCACTGTACCATGCTGCTTCCCTATGTGGTGATTATTTTAAGCAGCAACATTGGTTGTAGAGGCTGATCAGAAGGATGGAAATAATTGGATGTGAACAGGAGGCTCTCCTGACAAAATAGAGTTCTGTAGGATTTAAGGACTAACCTACTTCCTTTATGCAGTTGTGATGGTATCCCAGGCTATGAGTGATGCTTGAGTCACTGCAGCCCAGAGATTAGCTTCCGTTCTGTTAGCTGTTCAATCTCTTTACCTAACTCATCCCCTTCCTTCTGCCTCTGGTCTCATCAACATTTGTTTCTTTCCCTCGTGTCTCTCCTTCCCCTGTTTTACCACCAGACTACTGGGATTGAAAAGCCAAGAGCACAATTTTCAGAGGTGCCGAGCACTAACAGCTCCCACTTGAGTCAACAGGAGGTGTGGGTGCATGGTACTTCTGAGGATAGGGCCTAATAAAACTCCCTACAGTCCTCAGTACTGTACAGTAGTTATGGAGATGTGTTAGAGGCAGGATACAGGTTTGTGTATTTGAAACCATTTTTAAAGGGCTTAAATGTTTAACTTCAGTGGTCTATTTTTGGGCTATGGGTTCTTCTCAACAAGGGGGTGGAGACAGCTTGCCATATGCACAGAGAATCTGCATTGGTTCGGTGGCACGTGCAATAATACCTCTTATCTCCCGGGCTTTGTAACAAGCACAGACTGTTTCTGTCCTGTCCCCTCTCAGTCATGTGTCTGGTTCCCCTCTGATACTCTCCGCAATCTCTTCCACCCCTGAAGGTGTTTGATGTGCGCTTGAATGGCCACGTGGTGGTGAAGGACTTGGACATTTTTGACCGAGTTGGACATAGCACAGCTCACGACGAGATCATTCCCATCAGCATCAGAAAGGGGAAGCTGAGTGTCCAGGGAGAGGTTTCCACATTCACAGGGAAGCTCCACATTGAGTTTGTCAAGGTAACAAACCCTGGTTAGGGGAAAGCCCCTTCTTTCTCTCTCCTCTCATCTCCACCCAGTCCCTCACACCCTGCCACATAGTGCAGATGTGCATAGGGAGAGGGGAAGTGACTGATGGGTGTGGGTATTCCTTCTTTGACCCTGCAGCATTGACCTTTGCCTTCCCTTTCGCTAGGGATACTATGACAATCCGAAAATCTGTGCACTATACATCCTGCAAGGAACAGTGGATGGTAAGTTTTTTTTCACAATAATCCTTCAAGACTTTTTAGCTTGGAGGCAACTCATGGCCTTTTAAACCATGTGTAAAGCACTCTCCATATAGTGGCAGCCTTAACTGACCTGTCTCACCCAGGCCCATCTCCCTCTGCTGTCCCCTGTGAAGTTTTGTCCTAGCACATCACAAGTGTGATGTCATGATTTCAGCTATTTAAATGTGAAATTTCACGGTGTTGTAATTGTAGGAGTCCTGACCCAAAAGAGAGTTGGGGGAGGGTCGCAAGGTTGTTACGGGGGCCTGTGGTACTACTACCCTTACTTCTGCGCTGCTGCAGGTAGCAGCACCGCCTTCAGAGCTGGGCGGCCGGAGCGTGGCAGCTGTTGGCCAGGCACCCAGCTCTGAAGGCAGCACAGAAGTAAGGGTGGCAATACCATGATCCCCCCTAAAATAACCTTGTGACCCCCCCAGCATCTCCCATTTGGGTCAGGACCCCCAATTTGAGAAACATTGGTCTCCCCTGTGAAATCTCGTCTTTTGTGAGCTTTTACCATCTACTGTACAGATTTCACAGGGGAAGACGGGATTTCACGGTCCGTGATGCGTTTTTCATGGCCACAAATTTGGTAGGGCCTTATTCATATACTAATATTTGCTTCACAAGCTGAGAGTGGAGCCATGAAATCATCTTCATGAATGAGGGTGCTTGTATTGGAGTGGAGCCCTGGCAATGTGGGACTGTACCAGTCTACGGGATGCCCCATGTGCCCTGTTCCAGCTGGCTGGGTGTGGGATGAGACAGCTTGAGTCAATTGCCTGTTGGAATTCTCACGGCTCCTTGCAGCGTTCACAATGGTGAATTTCTTTTTCTTCCAACAGACGTTCCAAAGCTGCAGCCTCACCCTGGCCTGGAGAAAAAGGAGGATGAGGAAGATGAAGAAGAATACGATGAAGGCTCCAGCGTTAAAAAACAGGCCAATAAGAACCGGGTTCAGTCAGGCCCCCGGACACCAAACCCCTACGCCTCGGACAACAGCAGCCTCATGTTCCCTATATTGGTGGCCTTTGGTGTCTTCATTCCTACCCTCTTCTGCCTTTGCCGGTTGTGAGGGCAAGCCCCATGCAGAGATGCAGTGGCAGGGGCCGCAGGCCAGGAGGAAAGGAGTCGGACCAGATGCGGTTGCTTTCAGTTTCTCCATATTTTTCATAATTTAAGGGAAAAAAGTTCATTTGGAATGAACGGCAGGTACAGGTAAAGGGGGGAGTTTGCCTTCCCCCAGCCAGCGAGCAGCGAGGCCTTCGCTTCCCCTGTTGCACCATAAGCAGCATCCCTTCCTCTTCGGGGCACTTGAGATTAAACTGGATTCTTGCTGTCTGTCTGGGCTGTAGGAAGCTGATGCTGGCGAATTTTGGTCCATATCCCGCACGGAGAGGAAGCTGCATGATCCAAATGCTGTACCCTTATCCAGGTGGATAATTGGTCCCAGCTTAAGAAGCTAAGCAGGGAAGCACTCTCTGAATGTTGCCTGGAAAAACAGCCTTTGAAGTGAGATCTGGATGTGTGCTTTGGTCAGAAGTGTGCACAGATGTTCTGGTGCCTTTGGGTGACTAACAATTATGGGAAAAAGAGACTGGCTTTTCCACAGCTACCTGAATGTGTGTAACTAAATGCACGATACTTCTCTGTCCTAAAGATACACAGGCTCAGACTTGCTGATGGGTCTCCAGGAAAGGTTCCAACTTTAGAGTGAGTTGCAAAAAGAGCTGAGGGGATTATTCGGCCTGATTTTCTGCACCAGTTGGGAGAGACTTTCCTAGTTTGATAATTGTGTAATGTTAGATCGTTGCTGCAGGGGTTCTGCTGTGACCTGCAATAGGCTGGCTTTTTGCTGCAGTGTCTCTGCCCCAGATGTGTTTGGTTTCTATATCAGTTGTGGCTTTTATTTCCTTTTAAATATTTTTCTTCACAATGGCTCACTTCAATCCCTATCCCATCTTGCCCTCTCTAGTGTACAATGTCTCGCCTGGAGGGGCTGAGAACCAGGTGACCAAAAAAAATGGAGGCTCTGAGCCCCCAATGCTTGTGTATCCCTGCTATGATCAATAGTCTGGCAGCCATGAGACAGAGCAGTGCCACCCTTCAAGTACTTTCCAATGACCCTCTAATCCTTCTGCATCAGCTGCATTGATCTGATTCAGTCTGCAGTAATGTGAGATTGAAGTCTGTATCTACCATTAACTATCTTGCATAGGCTTTGGAATATCAGGATGTGCCTAAGAATTAGATGCTGGCAAGTGCCAAGGAGCCCAGCCTCTCAGTCCTGTAGGATGAGCATGTCCATCCATTGTGGAGAATCTGAAATAGATGGAAACTGCTGTAGATCAGTCTGGTCAGCTTCCGTGGTCACCTGATGATAGGTCTGAGCTACCCTGTTCACTTTCCCCCACTGTTAGCTTAGCAAGTGGACTCTGGACCTGCATGAAGAGCATGTGTTCTCTGAGTGGGGTGGCAGGAGAGGCTGCTTCACTCTGGATCTGAGTCTGGTGTAATCAGGAGAGCAGTGTGGAAAACAAAAGCCTGCAATGTGGAATCCACACACTCTTCCTGATCTGAAACTGGAGGTCCTTGGGCAGCTGGCATCAGTTAAGATCTGAATCTGCAAGGTGCTGAGCAGCTTCAGTTCCCATTGGCTTATGGGAATTGGCTGCACTCCCTTCCTCACAGGAAGTGCCCAGCACCTTGTACAGCCATTGTAAAGGGTATTCTTTGGAGCTTAAGTCTTGAGGCACCAGCCTTGTCAGCTTTCATTCTAATAACATTCATCCTCTGGATCCTCAGGGCAGAATTCTCTTTGCCTTGGGCTAAATCTGTTTCTTCTGAAAAGCATCTCATCTGCTTCATACCATGTAGCTTGACTAAGTAATCCCCCTGCTGCTCCTGCCTGGATTCTGACTTTTCCTATCAATTGCTTTTGAGCACACTTGTATGTAGCTGCTCAACTCACACCTGGCCTTTAGATAAGCTACACAGAGCCTCTTGGTGAAGGGTCAGCAGAGCTCTGAGTAGTCCATTTACAGCAGCTAAGGCATTTACTTTCTTCCTATTAAATTTTCAAGCTGTGGAAAGTGTTGCCCAGCCATGATTGCCAAGACAGGAGCTAGGGGCACTGTCAGAACATTGGTCCCCAAAGCAGCCATGTTTCTGAGCAAGTGCATTGCTGCTTTGTGTTTAACCAAAATTCTGACTCTGTAAGTCTAGTGCAGAATATAGGATCCAACTGAGCTTTCTCCCATTGCTACTGTCTGTCACTAATGCACACACAAGCAGTTCAGTTGGTAAAACGGTCAGAGAATGCTTTACCATAATAAAAAACCTACCCACGAGGAGAAGGCCAGCAGTAGATCTCCAGAGCAAGCCAAGCTCTGAAACACTGGGAGGCCTGGGACTAGCAGCTTCATTCAGCTGTGTCTTCCTGGACACTTATCACTCCTAAATGCTTATTTTTTTTTAATGTATGAGTCAATTAAAAAGTTGTATTTTGAGGACATTTTTTATTCCGAGCGGCAATGCCTGAAAAATTTTGTCTAACCTTATGATTTCCCTGGATCTCTTTGGCCATTATCTGATCACTCTAACACACTAGAACAGCACAGGGTTTGGAACCTTAATCAAATAGCAGGAACTTCTTGGGTTCAGCACAAACTGCCCCGATTCATTAGACGAACCAAGAACTTGATCTTGAAAACAACAAGCCTACCAATTGGGGAGTGTGCTCTTCTCTTCCCCTGAGATGCCAGCATTTCTTAGAGACAAGTCTCCTTCTGCACCTCTCAGTCCCTGCACCTTGCACAGCTTGAGCTCAAGGGCCCACATCTAGGATCGTAGGAGTTAGAGACGGATGAGGCCTGTTAGATTAGTCCACTCCTCTGCAAGGCCATGGTAGCTGATCCTCTTCTCTCTCCCCCCTGCACCCTCCCCTTTCTGATAGTAGCAATACACTTGCTCTGTGCTGGACTCCCACCTGAGGATGAAGCAGCGTGTCTTTAGGGGTAGCTGGCACAGCATTCGGCTTCTGCTGTGTGTTTCAGCCTATGTTTCTTGAATAAAACTAATTCAGTTTATTTAATTTTTTTAAAAATGGAATATTTTTTGCTCTGTTTACCCATAACTTGGTTATCAAGCCTTATCTTCTGCACTAGGGGTGTGATACTCACATGGGTGTGGGCTCCCTCCCTTAGCTGCTTGCTGGGTCTCCTGGCCCCATGATGGTACTATAATAAAGCAATTTTCCTTTTTGCTTTCCTGTTCCAACCCTTCCCTTCCTGGCAGCTTCGGACTTCGCTTGAAGGATCCTTTTGAGACAAACGAAACACCTGCTTTATTTTATTTTATTTTTTTTTAAATAAGGACTCTTGAAGGGTTGGGGTTGCGGGGGTGTGTGTGTGGTGGTTGGAGGGACCCATCCAACATATGAATGGATATTGAGGTCTGATTATGGCTTGCTTTTGCCTAGATCTCTTCTTAGCTGCATCTGCATTTCAGCTGGTTAAGACTGGCAAGAGGTACGCAGCTCAGGGGTGGTGGTTTAGGGCTACTTTATTTTTCTGTTGTTGATATGTTGGAATATCTTATCATTTAGCTGTTGTCTTTCACTGATGTTGGTTTCAATTTGTATTTAGGGATTTGAGCAAATTCAACAGTGTGTCTAGGCCTGTAACTATTAGTGCAGTGTTACTTGTGATGTTACACTGAACCTACATCCCTTCATTGGGGACCCCTAAATCAGCAGGTGAGACTGCTGCATGGCGGAAATGAGTGGAGAATCAGTGATTGCTTCCATGACACGCTTCAAACTCTGGCTGTCTGTTTGCCTTTGGAACATCTGGGCTGCTGTTCTGCTTCCATAAAGGAGGAGCTTTTCCACAGCCTTACGCTCTGTTAGTCTATAATGCAGGCCAGTGCCCTGGGGTTAGGAGACCAGTTAGAAACAACCAAGGTAGTGTAAAAATTCAGTATCACAAACAAAACAGCAGCAGGCAAATACAGACCTGGTTCCTGTGTGTGTCCTTGCAGTAGTGGGCAGGGCGGAGTGAGCACATTCAGGCCACAGCTCAGTGTACCTTGAGAAGCCTGAGGATAGACAGTTGTGTTCTGTGGGACAGATTGTTTAGAAAACAGGTTTAGACAAGTTTTTTTTCTTAAAAACATTTAAAAAAGCAACATGATGATATGGGCTTGACTTGAACCTTCCTAGCCCAGGGTATTCAAACTGCAGGTGGAGATTTAGATTTATGTTTTTCCTCCCTACCTGCTGTGCCTAGGGTGTGGTATCTCAGAATAGCAGGCAGCCTTACACACCTGAGCCTTTCTTCTGCAGTGCAGTTGGGAGAGTGAGGATCTGTTTCATCCTTAACTCTGAATTTTGTGGGGCTTTAGTAGCTTTAAACCAGCCCTGTAACTTTGTACTGTAGTGTTTGTGTGAGTGGAACAAAATCTAACTTTTCCCTGTGGGATTGCAGGTGGAAGCAAGTGGAATGCCAAAGCAAATGCTTATGTTCATTTTTGGTGCCTTTTTGTTGTGGTTTGATCACAAGTCTGTTGGAAGAAGCTTCTGTTTTAAGGAACTTCTGTTTCCTCTTTTAAATCTAACTCCTGGAGGAGACGGTCCCTAATCCAGGCATTTACCCCTCTAACAGCAGGGGGCATTGTCTTACTGTCCTGTGATTCATGCTCTGGAACGTTCTAGCTGAAGTACAGCGCTACTTGTGAATATCCTTGGATACAGTTTCTGGATGCGATAGAGGAACTGGCAGGCTCCTTCAGGTTTGTTCTCGCCAAAGAAACCTCCAGAGGGATGGAGAGCTCCCAGGAAACATTGTGTCCATCTGTCCATTGTTTTCAGGGGCTTGGTGAAAGTTGCAGTCGGATTTTGGGTAGGAGCGTGGCTTCAATCCTGCTTCTGTATCAGTAGCGTAGTTTATGGCATGATGTCAACCCCATCCCACATCAGGAACTTGCTAGCAAAGGGCTTCCCCTAGATTGGCCATTGTGGCAGGGATTCTAAACCAAGAGCAGAATACAGTACTTCATCCCTGGCTTTGCTGTGGTTGAAACTGGACTAGCAGCAACCATGAGAAACATAGTCCAGTTTCAGCTGTAGCCCGCACAGTCCCTTGGGAAAGAGAGAGAACTACTGGAGTCTGCATGGCTCTCGATGTGTAACAGATTCTGAGAAAGTGGTTTGGGACAAAACTTATCTTAAACTCCTGCTAGTAGCAGATGCTCTGCGGCATCTATCTGCTCCTTGTGCCCATTAGGGCAGGAGAGAGACCTGCTTAGTGGGAATCCCAGGGAAAGCAGGGTCTGGAATCTCAGAATCAATTCCACTATCTGGCTCTGCTACATCTCCATGACAAATGCATGCCAAGGTCTAATGGGACTAGGTTTGGGGTTTTTTTTTCACACTTGCCTCTGTTTCCACCAGTTTTTCTCCGGTGATTAATTCTAAATAAGCTTAGGCATGGATTCTTGAGGAGGGAATATATAATGTGGGTTGGAACTGAGAACTCCTCCCAGGAAAGGATGGAGCTTAATAAATAGGCCCCAAGTTCCTGATCTTGATGTAACGGTTAGGGGATGCTTCAGACCCACGAAACTTGTGATTATTTCACGTCAGATCTGAACAGACTCATCCCAAGGATATGGTAGCAGGTGTACTTCTGGCATTGGTCTGTGAGGAGGAGAAGGTTGCAGCCAGGGTTCTGTCTTCCTGGACTCTGGCTTACTCAGAGTTTATAGCTGTATATTAAAGAACTATTTCTGAAGAGATCAGGGAAATGCCCTGGGGTGCTCTGTGCCTGGTCTAGTCAATACAACTCTCATTGCTGACATTGGTTTTTATACTCTTCCCCCCCCCCCCAAAAAAAAAAGTGTTTTGTTTAAAAAAAAAAAATATACAGAAGTGCTTTCTTCCCTCCCAGAGAGAGTGCTGTCTGCTCAGGAAATGTGAATAATCCATAGCAAACAGCAAAGGCTCAAGAGGCTGTGTGGTAGAGATTTATCCCAGGGAAAGTGGGGAAACAGCAACTCAGACAGGTGTCAAGAGCAGTTTGTAACAAGTCTTGTTTAACCAGAAATTCTGCTTAATGTGTGTGAATCTAGGAAATGCAAAATCTTTGAGCCATAGTTATTTTTTATTCATGTGTGTTAGGGGTGTGCTTATGTGTTCTGTCACAGTGATTCGGTTTTAATCCAAGCATGTTCTGTCAGGATGTTGGAGTGAGTAAAACACCCGCTAGAGGCTTGTTGGTAAACTTGGCCCTGTGCTGCTCCTGGGGACTTCTTGCACTCAAGCGCTTCCTGCTTAAGAAACTAACAAGTCTGTAAGGTGGCTCCAGGCTGCATGAAACAAAAGTAGAGTTCTCAGGGTCTTCAGAGCAGTAGCCTGGATTGCCCAAGGCTTTAGCCCAATTACAGTGACAATATTTGGGTCCCATCTGCACAGCAAATCTTAACTGCGTTGTAAGTGGGTCCTATGACTTGGATATGGTTGTGTAGACAAGGCCTGAATGAGCTGCTTGCATGTCCCTCCTTGCTAGGGGAACATTGGCTTCTTGCAGTCAGCTGATTTGTTGAGTATTAAGAATCACGCAGTTGCAAACTCTACTCAAGGCTGCGAGACTCAAATGACCATGAAGGATATAGCAATATGGGGAGAAATATCTATTTCTTTTGGGGTAATTCTTCGTCTGTATTAGTAATCAGTACTAAAGGATTTTGAAGGAGGATTTTTTTTTTTTACTGTCCATTGCTTTGGGTTATAACAACTTGCGGTGACTGTTTGTTTGTATCAATCTTCGGCACTGGGTTAAAAGCACAGATGTCTATTTCTGATTAGACTGGCTTTGCAAAGACTTGTTCTTTTGGGGAAAAGAGCTGGGTGTATGGGTGGGTTATTTTATTTTTGGTACATGTAGCTGTTTATTTTTTAATTTTCCCAGGATGTTTGGTTGAGGGAATGTTCTGAAATTTACTGCCTGGCAGTTTTAACCAGCAGTGTATTAAAGGAAAATAAACAAAATTATATTGTCACTTGGAGCATCTTGTGCTTTTTTTAAAAAAAAAAAAAAAAAAAAGCTTTACAAAATCCCTCTTTGCTTTGAGGGAAAGAGAATTTGATATCTTGTAACTGTGGTGGGGCTGGGCTCAGACCACTCTGGAGGGTGGATTGGAGGCCACTGATGAGATGCAATTTAAAATCCCACCACTACTTCAACTTGAGTCCTTGAACCCCTGAGGCAGCCATGGCTCTGCTTCTCTCTTCTTCGTGCTTGCTAATGTCTAGCTGTGTTGCAGCTGGGTTATTTCCCCCCCATCTATATTGGATATTGGAGACACTTATTAATATTGTGTAACTAAACTGAAGATGGTGGGTTGTTCTTACTCTATGGTAACTTTTTCCTTTTTCAGGATGATGCTCCAAGGAGTCCTACCAGAGATGACATCCATGGGCCAAAACCATATGTCTGAAATACACATTGTTTGCCCCTCCTTTGTCCCCCCCCCCCCCCAAGCTCCATCACCAAGGTCAGCAGCACACACTCACCCCAGTGACTTGTGAACACTTACATATGAGCATTATCAAAAACTAAGAGGAACAATCTTTGTTGGATCCCTTTGTGTTAGGATGTCACTGTGGTGCCTGATAGTAAAAATGACACAGCCCCCCAAGGAGAGGCTGCAGCAGCTGCCACGTGAAATGACTGGGTAGGATTGTCTGACTCAGGACACTGCAGTTAATCTCTGCTATGGATAAATTGTAGTAATTGATGGTAAGATTAGGGAACAGAAGGCTATTGCAGATCTGAAAAGAGGAGAGAAGGCAGGGAGACTCGGGTACAGCAGAGAGCCATGCCTCACTGTCAGCTTCTCCCAACTGCAGTATGGGCCATTTGCTCCTTTGGGTAGAAAAGCTGAGAGTTTACTACATTCTCTTTGAAGCAGCACCAGCTGTTGGCCCAGAGACCTCCTGGAAGTGAATAATAGTTGTGTGTGAGGCTTTACAGAGATGTAGGAAGTCTTGGCTCTGTCCCACACAGCTTACTTCCTCAATAAACATGCTGAGGAAGGATAGGAGGTACAAAAAGCAAAGCCACTCAGCCTGAGGTTGGGTTAAGTACTTTTTTGGAGGCTGGTGTAGTGAGCAAAGGTATCCCAGATTGTAAGTCTGCTGCTGAGTTGGCCCCCTACCAAAATAGAATAGTTATAGGTAGCGTTAAGATCTTGTCACAGGTATTTTTAGTAAAAGTCTGACAGGGCGTGGGCAATAAACAAAAATTCATGGAAGCCTGCGACTTTAGTTATAGGATTCAGACCCCTACTGGCTGAGTGGGCTGGTGCTTGGGAGATCAACAAACCACAACTTGTAACCACTTCATTAAGTGAAATGACTTAACACTGTTTTGTGAAACTACTGCTCCTCTCTCTCCTCAGGGATGGAAGCTACCCATCCTCTGTAATTAAATTGCTGCCCCAGAAGATACTTTCTTCAATTAAATTAATGAGTAATATAGTAATGCTTCTGTTTGTGCCAAAGGTGTGCTTGCTAAGGGCTAGACCTATCTCTCTAATATAGCTACTGGGAGAAATGGGGCCTCATGACGCATCTTAGAGGATAATTCAGTCCCTGAAGCTTTGTGTGTGGGAGCAGTGCTGTTTTCATCTCTTCAGTTAATTCCTAGGAGCATCTGCATTGCCAGCCCAAATTCATCAGCCTTAGAATCTCTGCAGTAACTGACTCTTCTATGGCTGCTGGAAGCAGATGCTTCATCTCTAAACTTAAAAAAACCCTACATTAATATTAAAATGAGTAAACAGCAGCCATGGGCTGGGCTGGGCTGAGCAGAGCAAAAGTGTTATTCAGAATGAGATGTAGGTGTGAACACAGCCTAGCATGCTCTCTGTGCAAGCATGTTGAAGCTGTTCTGAAATGTAAATGTGTCCTAGGTGCCCGCTCGTGTGCTCAGACATATTGATCAGTACTGCAGCTCTGTGGCTAGTTTTAGAAATTGCCCTATTTCAGCTCTGCTGTGCCCTGAGAGGGAAGCCTACAGGTGGGTAGAGCTGGAATGGGGTTTTGTGTCTCCAAGGGCACGCAGTGGAGATGCGACTAGGGCATCCACAGTGCAGAGTACAAAGCTGATCTTCGCAGGGTTGAGGAATGGGCTTTATGCCCTATTTTCTTGTAACAGGTTCTGATTACCTGGTATCAATTCACCAAAGCATAAGCACCCCTCTTCCCCCACATCCTAGTACTACTCTGCCTATCGGTCGATGGGCCTTTCTGGGGGTATGGCTCTTCCTCTGCAGATTGCTCAGCGTCCCCACCTCCGCCTGTGACTGCAGGGCCCAGTAACCAGCCCCGCAAGAGCGAGGCTGAGCTGCCCCGGAGCGAGCTATAGCAGGGACGGGGTGCATGGCCATGTGGTCCTGACTCCCAGCAGCTCCTGTGGGGTGGGGCTGATCCTTGCCACGTAGGCGTGGGACTGGGGGCAGCTGATGGTGAGTAACATTGTAGAGCTGGTTAGGGCACGGAGAAGGGGTGTGTGGGAGTCTCCAGAAGGCTCCCATCCCAGGGCATCGCTCTTTCCCCTCAGGGCCAGGCTTAGTGCCCGCAGCACGCTCCTGACCGCTCCAGCCAATCGAGCTGGGCTCTGCGTTGCCAGGGTCATGTCTCCCTTCCAGGCAGTGCACGCAGTGCACCACGCTTAGCTTCAGTCCCCGGCCTGGCTCTCAGAACCGAGCAAAGGGTCCGAAGTACTTCCGGCGTCGCCACCGTCCCTGTTGCCAGGCATCGCGCCGTTGCCCTCTGACCCCGCGGGCGCCCCGCCCCTCGCTCCCATAGCTACGGAGGGAGGCGGCGGCCATCTTGGCAGAGGTGGCGGGGCGATGAGCGGCTCGAGGCCGAGGGCGGCGGCGCCAGGCCCCGAGAAGAAGCCGCCGCCGGGATCCGGGGGGGTGCTGAGCCGGCTGCGGGGGCGGCGGGGCTCTGGGGACGCGGCGCTGCGGGCGGCCCTGCCCAGCTCAGAAGCGGAGCTGCTGGCGCTGGAGACCGTCCGGCCGGAACACGTCCTGGCGCTGGGCCGGGTCACGGAGAGTGAGTGCTGAGCTGGGGGACCGGGCACCGCGGGGCCGTCCGTGCTGCTACCGCCCCGGGGGACCCCCTGCTCCCCCTCCCTGGCGCCCCCCTGTTAGCCCCGCCCGCGGGCGCCCTGCCCCACGTATCCTCCCCGGGCACCTTCTCCGGCAGAGCCGAGTGTGAGGCCCACGGGGACCTCGTGGCCGTTTCTCTGAGGATCCCTTCCAGGGATCCCACACACTTTGCCTCTCAAAGGCTCCATTATCACCCCTGAGACGCCACACCTTACCCCTCATGGACACTGTTATCATCCCCTCAGAAACCCTATACACCGTACCCCCCGAGGCCCTGTTATATCCCCTCAGAAACCCTATACACCGTACCCCCCCGAGGCCCCATTATCTGCCCCCGAGGGATCCCATACACCCTACCCCCAGCACCTATTATCGTTCCGCCAGGGACCCCCTATACCAGGGGTGGGCAAACTTTTTGGCCCAAGGACCACATCTGGATATGGAAATTGTATGGCAGGTCATGAATTCTCACAGAATTGGAGGTTGGGGTGTGCAAGGAGGTGAGGGCTTCAGCTGGGGGTACAGGTTCTGGGGTTGGGCTGGGGGTGCAGGAGGGTGCTTGTACCGAGCCTGTACTGACCTGCAGGCTGGTACCGAGGAAGTGATCTCATATAGGCAGTACATTTCAAAGCCACTGCTGAGTAGCTTCAGGCTGGGTCTGAAGGGTTCAGAGGGCAGGAGGGGGATCAGGTCTGGGGTACAGGCTCTGGGCAGCGGTTACCTCAAGCAGCTCCCAAAAGCAGTGACATGTCCCCGCTCCGGCTCCTACACAGAGGCACAGCAAGGCGGCACTTTGTGCTGCCCTGTCCACAGGTGCTGCCCTTGCAGTTCCCATTGGCCGTGGTGGTGGCAATGGGAGCTGCAGGGGCAGTGTGTGGAGCCGCCTAGCTGCCCCTACATGTAGGAGGTGGAGGGGAGATATGCTGCTGCTTCTGGGAGCGGCACAGAGCCCTAGCATGCCCGGAGTGGGACAAGCCCTAGACCTCGCTCCCCAGCTGGAGCGAGGCAAGCCCCTGTCCGTGCTCCCCAGCTGGAGCTCAAGGGCCGGATTAAAACATCTGAAGTGCCAGATAAGGCCCTGGACCGTAGTTTGCCCACTCCTGCTGTATACCTTACCCCCCTTGTGGCCCCAGTATCAGTCTCTCTGAGAACTTGACATCCTCTTCTGAGGACACCAGAAGTAACCTTGCCAGGACACCGAATATTCCTTCTTGTCCAGGACACCTCTTCCCTGGGGACCCCAATATCCCTTCCAGAAAAGATCCTAGTATAGACTAGGTGAAAGACCTGTGCTGCTTCCTCTCTTAGCAGCCGTACTTGGCTGGGTAGATTAAAAGGTTAAAAGGCAGAAGTCAGGCTCTTGTGACAGATTTCTGCTTTTCCATCTGGGTCCACCTTGGTGCTGAGACATCCAGTCTTTTCTGGTTTAACAGCACCAGCTACATTTGTCCATACAGACAGAAAAGTTGGGGGACAAAATCTATAAGGGTCTGGAATACTGAGACTGTATTGGTCCATAGTGATCCAGATTTTTCTGTGAAGTTGAACATGCGTGCCCATGTAGATGTTACATTTTTGGTTTTAGGTCCCAAATTGGCTAGATCCATCAAAGTTTTGTTTTATTTGCCTCTCTAGGATGAATATCCCTGAAGCCCTGAGACTGCTTGTCATTCTTGTTCAGTCTACTCCTTGAGTTTGTTGGTCTTTCACTTTCCAGTAGTTTTGATGAAGCAGGAGCCGAACTCTTGTTCCCTTTTGCAATCTGTCCTGTTGGCTTTTTTGCAGGAGTGATGCTGCTTAGGTGGTGCTTGTGTTAAACTATGGCATACTGAATAGTCTCATTTTCCCTCTTTGATTGGATTAGCTCACTCAGTATATACAGCTGAGCAGTAGTAGTAATTTATAGTAGTTATACAATATGTACATATGAGTAGTAGTAACTTGTCTCAGTCAGCACTGAGTCCAAATGCTGAACCGTATTGTACTGTTTGGTTAGCCAAACTGGCAACTTGCTTTTTGGTTTCCTTGCTGTTTGCCCCCTTGAGCTCTCCCAGAAGCTTCTGGGAAATATCCCTAAACGTTCTAAGGTGCTTGGGCTCAGTTAATGTAGCTGAAGGCCTTTTGATACCTGAGAGGAGAACCTTTGAGGCATATGGGTTATGTGGCCCATATTTTCTTCTCCTGATCTGGACTGTCATGAGCAAAAGATCTCCCTAATATGTTCCTCTCTCTCGTAGATTATTTATGCAAACCTGAGGACAACATCTACAATATTGATTTCACCAGATTCAAGATCCGGGACCTGGAGACAGGGACAGTGCTGTTTGAAATTGCCAAGCCTTCTGCTTCAGGTAGAACCTGCTGACAGTGGGGAAAGGGCTAGATATTATGGGATCTGGTGGGATCCAGGGAAGGGGTCGTGCAGGCCAAACATCAAGATCTTTCACTATGCATAGTGTATTGAGTTCACCTGTATCATCCCTTAGGATTCCTGCAGGACTGAGAGCTTCTCTGCCTGCGAATATTCTAGTTACTGTGTAAAAAAAGAATGTGAAGTGAATATGGTAATAGCGAGAGGTGTTTTGGAGACTGAAATCCTCTTTCCATGGGATAGGTACAGCACAGAGCTTCATCCATACTACCCTGTAAATGTGCCTCAACCCTGACCATGAAGACCAGCTGTAGGGGTGAGAGGGGAGTTCTTTCCCTGTGATCCTTTCAGACCTGAAATTGCCAGCAGTTGGGGCAACTCTAATAGTGCGTGTTATGCTACTGACACGTGGCTGTTAGGAATTGATCTCATGTAGGCAGTACATTTCAAAGCCACTGCAGGCTGCCACTTGTTTTCCATTTCTGAGCTCTGTGGGATGTGAATACCATGCTTATTGATCCCTTTACCTCCTCGGCTCAGCAAGGTTGTTACAGATAGTGCCCAGTGTTTGGGGGACTTGAATGCCCCATAGATGTGGTGCTGCTGTTGTGGTCTGATATGGTTTGATTTTTTTTCCCCTGAACACTAGATCGAGATTTATCAAATTCCATAGTTAAGCCCCACCAAAAGTCCCTTTATGTGTAAGTAGCCAAAGACTACTGTGAAGACTGAAGTGCAGATCCTGGAGGTAAAAAGCTAGTTGTCATGTAACTATGTACTTCCATAGTTGATTCCTGGATATGCATCTTTGTGAGCAGGGTCTTTTGGTCCATTTAATCAGTTGTGAACGTTTGCTATGAAACTGTTCTCTGTTAACTTCTTAATGCCCGTAGTATATCAAAGAACAAATGTTGCAGTGCTGGGTGTCTGAGCAGTGTCTTTGATGGTTTCTGTACACCATCTACAAGCCATCAGCATGTTACTCCTAGAACATCAGAAGATTAACCCTGAGTTGGTAAATTCTTCTAGAGCAAGATGATGATGATGATGAGGACAGTGGAGAAGTGGACACCAGTGCAGGCCGCTTTGTTCGCTATCAGTTCACCCCAGCATTTCTCCGTCTCCGGACAGTTGGTGCAACGTGAGTAAAAGCTCATACAAAGAGGGGGGAGTAAGGCCTCTGGGGAACTTTAGGTACCAATCCTGTCAATTCATAGGTGAACTTAACAATGGACTAGTGAGACCAAGTTCATAATACAAATGAAAAAGAAGCTAATAGTGACAGGGAAGATTTCAAGATCTGCCTCTGTTTAGCACTGATATCAGCCCTATTGTTAGGTTCTGCGTAACTGCAGGTCTGAGGCTCTCTGCCTCTCCCATTCTGAAGTGAGCGAGGTGGTCTCATGAAGTGTATTTCTCCTGCCCTATGCCTGCAGAGTGGAGTTTACAGTGGGAGACAAGCCAGTGTCAAACTTCCGAATGATTGAGAGACATTACTTCCGGGATCGCTTGCTGAAGAACTTTGACTTTGATTTTGGCTTCTGCATCCCCAGCAGCAGGAACACATGTGAACACATCTATGAGTTCCCCCAGCTCTCAGAGGACCTCAGTAGGTATCCTTCCTCCCTCACTGAACTGCTGCTGTGTTCAAATGCTCTCTCTCCCTGAGATGATAGATGGTCATGTGGTGGGACAGGGAACTAGGAACAGGTAGATCTGGGTTCAGTTTCTGGCTCTGCTGATGACTCACTGTGTAGTCTTAAGCAAGTTGCCTTCATATGCTGTGTGGTTGAGGTTTGGTGTTTTCTTTTATCAGCAGCTGGTGACCTCAGAGTCACAGTGGCTTTTGCACATAATGCCTCAATATATAGTCCAAGAGGTAACCCTGGTGACTTGGAGATAATATTCCCTTAAAGGCCAAAGACACACATTCATAGCACCCACTGTTTGGGATTTGAGCCCTCCAGCGGCAGACTGGGATAGTTTCTTTTCTGGGAGCCTGTGGAGAGCCATCTGTGATGGTAGGCTGAGAGTATTCCCAGTGTGGTTTTATTACAAGATGGGCTATGCCACTGAGGGACAGACTGGACAGCGACAGTTGAATACTCTCTGCCACTCTCTGGGCATGTCTGGCAGATGGAGGGTGAGCTGAGTTTGTATGTGACTTGAGTACACAAGCTGGGCTGTGCAAGTGACATTAGTTTTTCCACTTACTCCACACCAGACAAGTCTCAGAGGAGGAATGTACTTGTTCAGTGCTGCTGTACTTTGGCCTGACACAGGTTCCAGAATATCTGTGTGAAATTGAGCCACCCTCTTCCAGTTTGCTTTGACAGCCTGGAGACCTGCATTCTTTGGATAGGCTGAACAGATGGGCCAGTGCAGAGCTCCTGAGGCTCTCACAGTTACACCAGTTTGCTTCTCTTACCTCTCCTTAGGTGCAGAGCTTCAAAGTGACCAAGGGTTTTTTTACCAAGTGCTTGTTTTCCTCTGACACTGCACTGCCCCTTGGGGTGTGCCAGACACAATACTCATGAGTGTAACTGACCTTTCTGTCCCGCAGTCCGCCTGATGGTTGAACACCCCTATGAGACCCGTTCAGACAGCTTCTACTTTGTGGACAACAAGCTGATCATGCACAACAAGGCTGACTATGCCTACAACGGGGGACAATAACCATTGCGTTCATGTCCACTGGACGCTGTGCTATCCCTAACCATTCCAGGTGTGCAGGAAGAGAGGAGTGCTGCTGTCTCATGCACCAGGGCCTCTTGCTGAACCTTTCCTTCACCCATGGACTCAAAACATGAAGCAAGAAGGCTGAGGTGGCAGTTTGTGACAGTAAAGGAAATCTCCCTGCAACACTCCCCTCCCTTGCATTCTTACGTACCTTGCCTCTGGCTTTCTCTCTGTTTCTGATGGTACCTTGTTTAGGTTTCAGATCAGGGACTCTAAGGCTCTGCTAGCAGATTATTGATGTTATGGTTTTTGTTGTTAGGTTACACCCTGTGACACCCAGTGGGCAAACTGCCCCCTGTCCAGAGAGCTCAGCTGATGTGTGGGCAAGCTATTTCTCCATACGAGAATCTGCTTTCTCCAAGTAGCTAGTGGAGCCTGAAAGGCAGATATCCTCCTTACTGCATAGTGGTTCAGCCTGTGTGAATGACTGAGACTGGATCCCAGTTTGCACCCCCCTCCCCATCCCTCAAGGGGAGAGTTACAAGACGGGATGAATCTAGCTTTAAATGGTGCAGGAATCTTCCTTCTGCTTCCAGGGACTGGGGAACGTTACAAGTATATCTTGCAAGGGATTTGAATTGAGGTGCAGGATGTTTGAAAAGAGAGATTACACTAAATTGGCCATTCAATCAACCTGCCAGACTCCCTACTTCTTGAGCTGTTGTTAGGAAATAATTGGATTATGATTGGGGCTCAGCTTTAGGGCTGAGGTTAATCTTGCCACCTTCATCATTTCCCCTGCATCTATGTGAGAGAATTTTCTGCTCAAGCCGCACTGTGGGGGTAAGGGGTCTGTCCATTTAGCTCTTTCTTTGGTGGTTGGGGGAGAACCTGGAGAGTTACCTGAATAACATTCTGCTTAGCAGGCAGATCTTCCTAGGCTTCAGTCTTTTTATATATATTTTAAACCCATGCAACACATCGGAGGGATTCTAGTAAGAGGCAATGGTGTTACCAGCTCGTCTACTTTGTGTTGCTTGGGCCAGTGCTTAGAGTTGTGCTAGTATTAAACTGGGCCCTAAATGGTGCCCAGACCAGGACATTCAGGCACTGTTGGGAGGTGGCTGCGTGTGGTGATCCAACAGAAAGAAATGACATGATTTTATCCTTAAACCATGTGGATTTGGGCCTCTGGCAGTGTTTTGCCTGTTTGGTTGGATCATTTATATTTATGACTTCTTCTGTGGAGATGATTACTAGAGCTATTAGAACAGACAAACCAAAGTGTATGTTTCAGACCTGTGTAGCACCTGGCATTACAGATGGGAAGAAATATTTGTGTCAGGCAGTGACACAATGTGTGTCCCTGGCAGTGAGGCTGGGGTCTAGCTCTCTGCCACGCAAATGTGCACTAATGAACTGCTTAGCTGGGCGTCATATTGGATGTCCTGATCCACTGATACCCTGCCATTCATTCTCACTCCAGCTCTATTGCTGATCAGGCCTGCCTCTTGTGTCTAACAGCTTGGCCTTATCTATGCTCGACAAATTGATCAGCGCCAGTATCATTTGTTCCCCCTCCAACAGTGGAAATGCACCTCGTGGCCACACGCACGCTGGCTACAGTTGGTTACCAGTCATGCTAGGTAATGCCCAAAGTAGACTCTGCTTTGTCAGGAGTAAATATTGATTGAATCACAATTGTAGGAATGTGGATGTTACAACCTAGGTCTTGTTAATATTTACACAGTAAAAGAAAGCCATTGTTCTGTTTGTGTGGCAGGAGATGAATAGTGTTAGCACTAGCACAGAGGATCAACTAGCTACAAGGCAACAGGTGAGAACAAATGTGGGATAAGGATCATGAAAGAACTTTTAGTTATAGGCGAGGGCGTTAATTATGAATGATACCACAAATGCCTTTTTTGTTTTGGAGAGGGCATTAATTGTGAGCCACCACAACAAATACCTTGGGAGCATGAATAGGATAAAGGTGACCAGGGTCAAGGTGGGTGTGTGTGGCTGTGGTGTGAGAAAGCTGGGAGGTAAAGAACAGTTCTCCTGCCATTTATCCATCGATTTCTCCAGGGATGTGCACATAATCCTATTTGATTGTTAGTTCAGAATCAGTAGAGCTGGTGTATCTTAAGAAAGGTCTCTAGTTCTCCTTTTGCTGGGGCTGTTTCCAGAGCTCCTTGCACTGTGCCATGGTGATACTGAGAGATCCTTTCTCACACAAGTACACCATACTACTTTTGAGAGGACACAATTGCCCCAGAGAAGTGCTTTCTGCCCTGATGTGTTCCAGGATGCTCAAGAGAGGAATGTCTAAGGAGATAACTAGTTATTCCCAAGGAGCTGATGGGAAATCTAGCTGAACTTGTGTGTAGTATAAATCCAGGTGCCTTTAAATATGACTTTTGTCTAATTCTCTGTTTAAAGCAACTACTTCTTGCTTGTTCTTATGAATGTGATGGTCTGTATTTGTTCCAAGTGTAATGGATAATGAGGTAGTCAGAAGGGATGTATCATCACCTGAGCCAGCAACAGGGAATATTCTGTACACAAAAATCCCAACATGAATAAGATGTATTATCAAATCTTTAAATAGTATTTAGTGTAGGTAGGAGGATTTGGCAGTGGTTGGGTGCCATGTAGGTGCTGTTTTGCAGAGTACATCTGCCTAGCATGAGTATACTCCTTTAAATGTGGGACTGGGTATTAGCTGCTGAAGAAGAGTCCATTCCAATCTGCAGTGGTCATCTTGAGCATCCAGAGGTCAGGGCAGAGGAAAGGACTGGTGCTCTGGGTGTCTCATGTGTGAATGTGCCATCTCCTTAGCAATAAGAAAGGGAAAACTGAAGATCATAACAGGTACTTCCCAGTTGGAAAAGAGAGGTGCTGCCAGTTGCGTTGGTGTTCCAGATTTAAAAGGCGAGCCCCAGAAAGACATGCTGAGAAAAAAGCTCAGATAAGTGGGCAACACTGTCCTGGGAGAGTTAGTCAGGCAGAGGAAGTTATGGATACCAAGCAGAATCCAGTGTTCCCTTCTCCTGGATGCTGTTAGCTTCTCCATTTAGAAGAGGGTCTGTAGAGTACTTCCCTGCCCTTGGTAAACATGATTAGCAGAGAACCTTTTCACCTTCAGTCTGCATCCTTTGTTGCTAGGTACAAGCTCCTCAAACCAGGGAGGAACTGAATGGGAATCTCCATGCATTCTTTCCCCTCCCCCTTCAAATGGACTGTCCATTTCGGCATGGTATATGTGTATACAGAGCTGGTGCTAACGGAATGAGGCAGACATTTCTATAGTGTTGGCTAAGGAGTTAGTGGCTGGGAGATCAGTGTGAGACTGGCCTCCCTTTGTTAGTATACACTAGGCTGGAAAGAAAGTGGGGAGTTAAGCTTATACTGTAAGTAAAAGGGCCAAAAATGTAAACAGAAACTAACTCCATAAAGTATTTGTCCTCTTGGGACCAGTCTGAAGCATTCTCAAGGTGAGTGCTTCAGGCCCATGTGCTGTGTAAGAGAGGAGAGGAAACTTCCTGCACAACTGTTCCATGGGTGACTGAAGATTTTGTATTGCACCTGGTGTGATAGGGTCACGTAGTGTTACATGACCAGGTATCGCTGTCTCTGTTCTCTCCCTTAGTTATGAACTGTCTTCCTTTGTGTATTTCCTTATGGTTTTAAGTGCTTCTCATCAGAGAGGAGAAGAGCAGGAAGCCTCTTCCCATTGCAGCTTCTCTCGGCTGGGATTTCCATTCTGCTTCTCTAGTCAAGGTCCAGGAATAATGGGCAAAACGTCTGAAAGCAGGATATGTTAGTGGAAATGAATCAGGAAGGTGATGAATAATTTTTGTGATAAGTGGTGGAGCAGCAAGATGAGTTTGGTCAAGTAGTGTGGTAATTCCACTTCCAGGTTCTGTACTTCATTAAATCCAGTGTTTGTCTTCTGAACCACTGTCTTGTCACATCAAGCTTTGGGCTTTGTGATGCCCTCCTAATGCAGGGCTCTTCACATAATAGCCCACATCCACCCTTCCACATGCACAGATGACTGCTGTCTAACAATGTGCCACTTGAGTACCAGATGTAATTCCTGGGAGTTATAAAACATTGCCCACTCCCTCTGGCTTAATGGTGAGGACAAAGCTAAGGGATAGCTGGTGCTGTCTAATAAGCAATTCCTCTTCATCTGTCAAAGAAGATACAAGCTCTAGCAAATATCATGGTCATCTATACTGACTTCTGATTTTTTTGTGTTTTTGTTACTGAGGTACATTTATAGGCATATTATGTGTGGGCTTTGGGCTGGTGGCAAGTTACAAATGCATCTCTGTGCCCCAAACCTTTGGCACTCCTATCAGAGCTGTTGTAATAGGACATGGGTAGCGTTACACCTTCATATAACCAGTTTGGCTGAGGGGAAATATAACCCAGCATCCATACTTTCTTCATTCTGTGAATCAAATATTTGAACAAGCCCAGTATTTGCTTGTATTTGGGACTGGCTCTCTGCTTCACAATGCCATTTACCCTGGGAGCCCTCCAGGTCTTGGTCCATATTGTCTCAATATCACCCGTGTCTGTCCCTTTATATCCAAGAATGATCCTTGGGTGCTGCAGGTTCCCCTTAGTTTACAAAGGACAGTAGCAGTTCAGTGGAGATTTAACAGAAATATATTTTTTCCTTTGTAAAGATATTTTTCACAGAGAATGCAAGAAGCATCAATGAAGTTGCTTGTGATATTTCCCTCCTCTGCTGTCCTTCTACCTTGGATCCTCATTCCACTGTGTCTTGTCATGTCTCTCCTTGTCCAGAGTAAACTAGACGACTTATTTGTATAAAATGTTATTTTGTCCCAAGCAATAGTAATAAACCAGGATTTTCACAAGCATGGGACTAAGTAATTTCTTGGCTTACTCACATTACACCAGCTCTCAGCACAAGGTAGCCCTGGAGTTCAGACTCACATTAGACCAGTGGTTCTCAAACTTTTTGAATTGGCAACCCCTTTCACACACCAAGCCTCTGAGTGTGACCTGCACTTATAAATTAAAAATGGGGGTAGAAATTTAACAAGGGCTCAGACGGTCAGTCCTATGCCTGGTGGGGCTGATAGCTTCAGGTAACCCTTAGGGGTTGCGATTCCTCCATTAAACTCTTAAAACACAGTACTTCACTTCTAGCTTTGGACCCACTCTGGGCAACAGTGGAAACATATATATGTTTCACTTTGAATCTGTAGGGCAGATTTATAACCGGCAAGAAAGCTGAGACTATGGCTTCTACTCTCCAATGGTCCTCTTAAAGCGGGGGCTCCCCCATTAGCTACCCGTTGCAGGTTTTGTTTCACTCTCGCTTGGCCAGGCAAAGTTGCAAGGGATCGCTGCTCAAAGAGGTGCAACCGCCTCTGCATAAAATAAGGCAAGTGGCTTAGCGGCTCCCCACAGCGCAGAGCCGCGAGCGAAGAGGCCACAGCGGTAGGCGTAGCGTCTGGCCCGGGCTACACGCTGTTTCTAGCCCGTTGTGGTCACGGCCCTTAGCGGGGGCAGGGCAAAGAGCGGGTCACGGCGGCCCCAGGGGTTGAGCTGCTCTGCGCTCCGCGTGGCCGGCCCCTAGTGACCATGGCAGCCCTGGCCCGGCCTTGGTGCAAGCGCCGTGGGGGCAGGTGCGGGCAAAGCACGAGCGCTGCGCTGGCCCCCGCCCAGCGTGCCTCTCCAGCCCCTTGCCCAGCACAAGCCGCTGCGGCCCCGGCGCCGGCCCCGCCCCTCAGAACAGAGGAGCGCGGAGACTGGCCCCTCGTGCGCCCGGCTCCGCCCAGGACCCAGGGAAGCGGCTCATGCATATTAATGACGTGGAGGCGAGCCTATCTGGCGCGCCTTGGGGCGCAGGCGCAGCGGGCTGGGGCCGAGCATGGCGGCCATGCTCCTCGCGCGGGGCGGCAGCGCTGCGGCCCGAGGTCGGGAGGGGCGGGCGTTGGGGGCAGAGCGCGGGAAGGGGCCGGGATGCCTGGCCCGCGCGGGGGGGGGCCTGGAGAGCCGGGCCCGGGGCAGTGGCGCGCGCTGCTCGCCTCACTCACCGTTCCGCCAGTGGGAGCGGAGCCAGCGGCGGCTTCCCCCGCAGCGCCCCGCCCTCGCCCTCGCCCGGCTGCTTCCCGGGGGGCCGGGCCCCGGAACAGGCGGGGGGAGGGGTTCACTTGCCCCGTCCTGGTTGCCGGCGCTGCCAGTTGGCGCCGAGCCCGGAGCCCCGCCGCCCCTGACCAGCCCGGTCGCTACGAGGCGCTGGGCCCGTGAGAAGGGGCAGGAGCCGGCTGCTGTGGGTGGGACGAGGCTCAGGCCCCCTTCACCTCCCCCCGACGCGCTGTACTTCACCTGTGGCGCGACTGGTAGGGCCCCTCGCCGTGGTATCTGGGCGTCTAGCAACCTTTCACCTGCTGAGCCTCACGACCCCTGGGACAGACGGAGAGGAGGGGATGCGACTGATTTGCCCAAAGTTAACCGGAAGGGCTGGAACCTGGGTCTCCAGCGTCCCAGGCCAGTATGGAACTGCTGGACCATTATTCCTTTCTGCTTGGACTTCCTGGCTCTAGGGGCATGGCAGTAAGGGCTCCCCTTCACCTCCTCCCCTTACTTTCCAGCCCTGACCTTTGGGTGCTTGCGACAGCTGCACACAGTGTACCAGACAGTGGAGTTACCAGAGACCCACCAGATGCTGTGCCGGACGTGCCGGGACTTCGCCGAGAAGGAACTGGTTCCTGTTGCTGCTCAGCTAGATAAGGAGCACCGCTTTCCTGATGAACAGGTGAGTGAGCTCATTTGTGTAAGGGTTGGGATGATGGTGTGCAGATCTGGTCGACCCCATCTAAAAAAGATATATTAGAATCGGAAAAGGTACAGAAAAGGGCAACAAAAATGATTATGGGCATGGAACAGCTTCCATATGAGGCAAGATTAATAAGACTGGGACTTTTCAGCTTGGAAGAGAGACAACTAAGGGGAGATATGATAGAGGTCTCTAAAATCATCACTGGTGTGGAGAAAGTAAATAAGGAAGTATCATAGAATCAGAGAATATCAGGGTTGGAAGGGACCCCAGAAGGTCATCTAGTCCAACCCCCTGCTTGAAGCAGGACCAATTCCCAGTTAAATCATCCCAGCCAGGGCTTTGTCAAGCCTGACCTTAAAAACCTCTAAGGAAGGAGATTCTACCACCTCCCTAGGTAACGCATTCCAGTGTTTCACCACCCTCTTAGTGAAAAAGTTTTTCCTAATATCCAATCTAAACCTCCCCCACTGCAACAAGTGTTATTTACTCTCTCATAATCCAAGAACTATGGGTCACCAAATGAAATGAATAGGCAGCAGGTTTAAAAGCAAACAAAAGGAAGTATTTTTGATCGTTTTGATTGCGGGGGGAGGGATAGCTCAGTGGTTTGAGCATTGGCCTGCTAAACCCAGGGTTGTGAGTCTAATCCTTGAGGGGGCCATTTAGGGATCTGGGGCAAAAATTGGGGATTGGTCCTGCTTTGAGCAGGGGGTTGGACGAGATGACCTCCTGAGGTCCTTTCCAACCCTGATTTTCTATGATTTCCTCACACAATGCACAGTCAACCTTTTCAACTCTTTGGCAGAGGATGTTGTGAAGGCCAAGACTACAACAGACCTCAAAAAAGAGTTAGATAAGTTCATGGAGGATAGGTCCATCAATGGCTTTTACCAAGGATGGGCAGGGAGGGTGTCCTTAGCCTCTGTTTGCCAGAAGGTGGGAATGGGCGACAAAGGATGGATCACTTGATACCAGTTCTGTTCGTTCCCTCTGAAGCACCTGGCATTGGCCAATGTCAGAAGACAGGATATTAGGCTAGATGGACCTTTGGTCTGACCTGGTATTGCCATTCTTATAACTGTGTCCCAGCCTCACCAATACATGGCCTGACCTCTACATGCCTCCCTATAGATACAGGTGGCCCAGCCCTGAGCTCAGCACAAAATATGTTCAGTTTAAATCTGGATCACGCATGTCAGATGCTGCCTCGTGCATCACACTGAGTATGCTGTTCTCTAGCTCCGTTGTGTCATGGTGTCTCTGTATGTGACCACTGCACAAATCAGCCTGATAAATCAAAGCTTCAGAGTTATACACAAGTGATTCCGTCAGTACATTCAGACGTTATATTGTACTACCTGTAGGACACACTGTTTACCTTAAAACCATAAATTTTGCCAGCCATTGTGCATGTTAATTGCCCTTCTGTGTCTTCCTCTCTGGACTTTGGTACCATTGAGTTTTCTCTTCTCTCCTAGCGACTTTCCCCAGGGCTGCTGTAGTTAATACAGCATGTGACGCATCTGACTTGGAAAATCAATAAAACACTTTAGTAAAGAGGAGACCGGTCACACATTGCAGCAAAATAGTGTATCACAATAAAACGTCCATGTATTGAGCATAGTTCAGCTCATGAAATGAATGAAAACTAACAAGAGAATCATCTTGCCACGGAGAAGCTGCACATTTCATTTCTTGACCATTAGAAGCAGGAAGGGATTGTTTGAGGTTCCAGTGTACCAGTGTCTAGACGTTTCACTTTTGTGAAAAGAGCTCCGCAATCTCTTGCTGCAGTACCAATGCAGTTGGATGGCTTAAAACAATAACTAGATTGTTAACGATCAAACATGCTGTCCTAGAAAGCAAAATATTATTGCCGTAGCCCACAGGCTTCAAATTGAGTGTACACAAATAAAAGGCACATTTTTTCTCCCCAGTTTGAGCCACTGGTCACCCTAACATGTCAGACTCGAAGAAAATAAATTAAAACGAGTATCCTCCCCTGGTTTACTGATCACCCTTGAGGTTCTTACAAGTGAAAAGATGTTGACTCTAATGTATTTCCCCCCACTGATGCTATTAACATTTTCTATTTCATTCTATGGCATTACATATAAAATTAGTCAGTGTCATTTGTTCATGATCACTTTATAGTCTCCCTTTCTGGATTTCATATAATGGCTCAGAGCCACAATATTTTGGAGGCAAATACAGGCAAGGGGAACTTTTTATTTAAAAATTCAAAAACAGTTTTTATGGGAATAAACAGAAGGTCCTGGCTAGATTTCAAATAGTTTAATTCTTACAATAGCTAAATGTTAGGCCAGAGTACCTGGCAATGTCATAAAATACAAGATCAATCCTGTTGTTAAACCATGACAGTTGCTCAGCAATGTACAAGATACATACACAATTATTGCCCAAAGAGGTTAAGATTGAGAAGGCAGAACATGTTGGGTACCCCAGAGTGGGGAATATCTTGAATCGTGTTAGTACTAATTAACTTCTTGTAAAGACAACCTCAGTGTGACAACTAAAATTGCTTTCCTGTGAACTAAAAGCCTTTTTCTTAAGTACCTTTAGGATGCAGTATAAATAGAGTGAAAGATTTAAAGGTATAGTTGCAAGGACTGGATCTGCTAGATTTCTCCTCAATCACTTCTATACAGTGTAATGAACAGAGCTTTGATGGGGCGTGTGAGAATAACCTAACATTATGGTTCAGAGTGATTCTAAGTTAAAACAGGGCTAGTCTTTGCCTCATGTGGCAATAAGCATAGTCAACCTCAGGTGACATGCCCTTAATCAGTAAGGGCTGCATCAGTTCTGAGCATCTATCATTCCTATTGAAGTCACTGTGAGCTGTGGCTGCTCAGCAACTGTTGAGATCAGTCCCCAACTAAATCAAAAGCAGGTGTGTCCTTTGTGTACGCTTTATAGCACATCTGTGTATGCAGGAGCTGACCCAGTAAAGAACGTGCTACTGTTACTAGCTGATCCTTGCATGTCTGGTATGTGCATAGGTGCCTCCGATACTCTGGAGTGAAGAAGTGGTTGTTTCTGTTGCTTGTGGTCAGGTGAATGAACAGAAACACATCTGGAATGTGCATGTGCTCAAGAGCACCTATGAGGCTGGGGCTGTGTGTTGCTGTACGTATGTACTTGCGGATTTGCCAGGGCATCACTGATGTAGAGACTCTCTGGCCTGGTCTACGCTGCAGTGTTTTGTCAACAAAAGTTATGCCACTTTAATTAAAGTACTTTAATTAAACTGCGGTTGTATGTCCACACTATGCTCCTTATGTCAGCAGAATGCATCCACACTACCAGCTCTTGCATCTACACAGAGAGCAGTGCACTATGGGTAGCTATCCCACTCTGCAACTGGCTGCACTGCGCTTTGGGAAAGGTTTGTAGTGCTTCATGGGGCAGGTACAGCATCACATGATGCAGGTTTCTCAATCCTGTTGTTCCATGGGCATTGTACCAGATTGCCAGCCACTTTTCAACTGAAGTGGTTTTTTTGCGGGGGAGTGCATGCGTGTGTGTGTGTTGGGGGAGAGACAGAAATGGAGTGTGTGTTGGGGGAGAGTGTCTTGGCATGCTGTCTCTAAGTTCAGACAACAGCCTGAACAACCAATCCTGGGGAAGGGGGACACCCTCCCCCCACACACATCAGCCCCCAACTCTGCACAGCAGTCTCCCCTCTTTCCCCCTACCCCTCCCAGCAACCTGATTTGCCTGCCTGCGGTTCTGTGATTCGCTCCGAGTTCTCCCACAGCTGCCTCAGCAGCTCTGAGAGCTCTCCAGGCTGAGGAATGTCAAAGCTTCCTGGAGTTTTGAAAGGGGAGGTGTGCATGCCTGCAGGGCAGCTGAGTTCAAAACACTGCACAGAGTGGTCATAGCAGGCATTGTGGGATACTGGGGGAGGCCAGTTATATTAATGTAACGAACGGCAGCATCTACACTGGCTCTTTGTCGACAAAACTTCTGCACAAAAAGCCCTATGTCTCTCGTCGAGGTGGTTTTATTTTGTCACCAAAAGTGGCATTGCAGTGTGTACACCTCCACTGTTTTGCAATCAAAAGCTGCCTTTTGCTAACAAAACTCTGCAGTATAGACAAGGCCTCTCACTTGTCCATTTCTCCTTGTCTAGGTGAAGAAGATGGGTGCCCTTGGCTTGCTGGCCATGGATGTGCCAGAGGAGTATAAAGGCGCAGGACTCGATTACCTGGCTTATTCCATCGCTGTTGAAGAGATCAGCAGGGGCTGTGCATCCACGGGTGTCATCATGAGTGTCAATAATGTAAGACCCTCCCACTGTCTGGGAAATGGGGTGTGTGGAACCAGTCCTAGCAGCCAGGGGTTACTCTGCCAGTTGAGTAGCGTGAATCTCAGTGCTGATGGGCAATGGCATCTGCCTTTGCTGAGCCTGGAGGGTGGGTCCTGGTCATGATGGTGCTGGACTTTTGGGAGTTGTTGGTTCACTTTTTCTTGCAGAGTGAATTAACATGACTTCTGTCTTCTTGAAGTCTCTGTATTTAGGTCCAATACTGAAATTTGGTTCTGAAGAGCAGAAGCATCAGTGGATTGCTCCCTTCACCAGTGGAGACAAAATAGGGTGCTTTGCCCTCAGTGAACCAGGTAACATGGATGTTAATGTTCCTGGGCTGATGGCAGAGAATGATTTCCGCTTGTAAACTTCCCTCTTTGTAACGTCAGCCAGGGAGCAGAACTGTAATGGGTATGGGAGCTTGGAGTGAGAGAAGCCTCTGAGGGGATGGCATTTCCACTCCTAGTTTATTGTGGCTCTGTGAGGACAGAGGGGAGATGGAGCTGCCCCCAGTAAAGCATGTGCCACTGTTGTTAGATGTGCCGTAATTGGCTAGTGTGAGGGGGAGGGGCAATTCTGGAGCCCCAGGCCCAATCCCCTGGGGTGCAGAAGTTATTGGTTCTGTTGCCTTTGGTTATGAGTGAGCAGGAATACTTTGGTTTTGTTTTGCATGGTGCCTTGTTCAGGAAATGGCAGTGATGCCGGAGCTGCTTCCACAGTGGCACGGCTAGACGGCAATGAATGGGTCCTGAATGGCACCAAAGCCTGGATCACCAATGCCTGGGATGCCTCTGCTGTCGTGGTGTTTGCCACTACAGACAAATCCCAAAAACACAAGGTGAGCTCAGTGGATTATAGCCTTCCATGCAGTTCTTGGAAGTAGCATGTGGAGCACACATCATGGGGTTGTGAAGTGTGGAGCACTTGGTAAAAGGCTCCATAAGATTACATTGGACTGTGGAGTCAAAGTGAAGAGCTGGGAGAAGCCTGTGTCCCCTCAGAAGGGGGGTGGCTGTGTGGGATGCAGTGCTGCCAGAGGGGGTGTAGATGGATGGTCTATCCCATGGGGCTCTGAGTTCATCTGAGAGACACTGGAGCAGAGCTTATTGCAGGGAGGAGTATTTCATTCCCCCTTAATGCCCTTAATCAGTAATTCCCCTCTGATCCATCACTTTTCTTCTTTCCCACTCCCTTCCCATGGCCAGTTGGATGGGTGGGTGAGTTGGGATTAGCCTCGTGCTTCCTAGGAGAGCTCTGCCCAGCTGCATTATGAGAGGTTGGAGGCAATTCTAAGATCCTGCATCTGATTCCAGGGCATTAGTGCATTCCTGGTTCCTATGCCAACAGCTGGACTCTCGCTGGGGAAGAAAGAAGACAAACTAGGAATCCGAGCCTCTTCCACAGCCAATCTGATATTCGAGGACTGCCGGATCCCCAAGGCCAATCTGCTGGGGCAGCAGGGGATGGGCTTCAAAATTGCTATGGTGAGAGCCAGCTAGATTTGTGGGAAGACAGGGTTGGTGCAGGACTATATCCATATAAACTGTTGTTCAGCCAATGGTGTGTGTAGTGACCCCTTCTTGGCAATTGAGGAGCACCACTGGTAGGTCTTGCCTTTGTGGAGCTTATCTGGCAATCCTCAGGTGTAGGAATATGAGCAGATATGAAGCAGAGGTCCCTTCCAACTCTGAGAGGGAGAGCCTCCCCTCTCACCATCTCACCCTACCTTTGCTGATCTGCCTGTGGGGAAACACACAAGGCCTTTTGGATGCTTCTCTTTAATTCCCTCTATGGAGGAGAGGCAGAAATTCATACCTTGCTGATGCAGAGAGGATACCTTTTGGAGTTCATCCAGATATAGATTAGATTAGATCTTATTTGGGGAGCATGTGTGACTTCTGAGGAACTGAAATCTTGGCACAACAATGAAGATAATGCCTGAGGAACAGTATGTGCAGTGTAGCAGGACTTCTGAACTTCTGGGAGCACTGATTTAGCTCCAAGCGGGGTTGGCATAACAACTAAAGATTGACTCCTACAGTCCATGAGCTAGACTCATTCCCAGGCTGTCTAAAAGTCAAAAATTGGGAGGGCTTGGGGAGCACCTGTCATCAGTACCTTGATTTAGGTAGGTCTCTGCCTCCATCATCCTTCCTTCCATTCCCAGACTTGTCTCACCGCAAGGGAATTTTAGGACACATTATTCTGGAATTAAGTTTCAAATACACCTGAGATCGATGTGGAGGTTTCTGCTGGGACCCCTTCTTATAAAGAGGCCTCTTTATGGGGTGGGGTTAGCAATGTTCATTTACAGAAGATGTTGCAGTGTTGCAAACTGCTGCTATTTTGAATGAAATTCTGCCTGGTTGAACAAGGAAGGAGCAACACTGACATGAAATGCAATGCTGGAATTGTTCCAAGAAAATTCAGTTAATTGGGGGTTATAAAGATGCCAGTACCTTGCTGGGGTGTGTGAGAGAGACCTAGCACAAAGCTGCGCCTCCCTGAACAGGCCTCTAACTAGTTACCCACTTCAGTACATGCAAGGGAAGGAAAGCTTGTGTTGCACTTCAGAGTAAGGGAGCGAGCTGTCTCTTGAGAGAGTTGGGCCAAGACTCTCTCAAGTGAGTAGTGATTTGTTTTTTGGCATGTTATGTTTGATGGCTTAAAGGAGCCTGATGTTCGGAACTTTGCACTTTCTGAAAATTGGGTCCCTCTAAGATGTGTCAAATTGGGCACCCAAAATCACTTGTCCTTTTTGGAAATTTTAGCCACAGTGTTCACTCCAGAAAGAGACAAAAACTAGAGCTGCTTATAGAAGTAGGGGGAACAAAGATACAAAACTAGATTTAATTTGTCTAATTTCTCTTTACTTCCCCCCCCGTTCCTCTGTCATGCTTTCTCCCCTTCTGATCTCAGTATCTATCTGGGATGTACTAAATATACTGAGGATTTTTATTTTCATACATTGTGGGATTGTCCAGGGGGTGCCAACATGACTGCAGATTGCTAGCTCATACAGGTATATTCACCCTTCAGCCCACGGTGTGACTGGCATTACAGATGTGTAACTATTGTATGTGTCTCAGCAAACCTTGGATTCGGGCAGGATTGGGATTGCCTCGCAGGCTCTTGGAATAGCTCAAGGAGCGCTGGACTGTGCTGTGGATTATGCTGAGAAGAGGCTGGCCTTTGGTTCACCCATTTCTAAGCTTCAGGCTATTCAGGTATGGGTTAATAGAGTCCTGTGTCTGGTGACAGTAATTGAGTGTTTTGATAAGAAGAGTACTGCTGTATTAGTACAGTAGCTGGTCTGATCTGGGGAAGATAATGCACCTTGAACTCTGGACACCATGTGTGCAGGCAACTTAGATTTACACCTGCCTCCATGCACAGGTCTGGTTCAGTGGCTTGGGCACTTCCCTGTTACTATGGGGGGATGCTTTGGGTTTCTGAGAGGTTTGTCAACACATGTGCAGTGTGAAGCAAATGAGTTCTGCTCTCACATGTTTGTCTGTTGCAGTTCAAGCTGGCAGACATGGCACTGGCGCTGGAGAGTGCTCGCCTGCTGACCTGGAGAGCAGCCATGTTGAAGGACAGTGGGAAACCCTACACAAAGGTAGTTCCTGCTTTCTGTAATCTGCTGTTGATATAGCAATGAGAGGGATATGCATAGAATCTTAACTCAGTAGGGTTTATCTGGTCCAGCCCCTAGCCACCACGAGATCTCTCTTATGGTTTATCTTCCAGTGTTTAGTGCCCTCTGTTAGTCTTTTTCTGAGATTAACTAAACATTACATGGCATCCCCCTTGCCTAAGTCAGTCAGGGGGAAGGCCAGGTCATAGGATTTCCTGCAAAGTGAATTTACCACCAGTGAAAGGTGTAGTGTGATAACCTTGGCAACTGAGATCCTCTGTCCACAAAGCAAAGTGAGCATAAGCACTATTCCCTCTCAATGAATGCGATGGCCTCCTGAGACTGGCCCTTATTATTGGATCTGGGACCTGCATCCAGTTACCTTCTCCAGAACTCCCAAAAAACCAGATGTTTATAAAAAAAAAAAAAATCTTGCACCTGTCACAAATGCCACATTGTGGAACAGCTTAAATTAATATAAAGGGGTGATTCAGTAGGTGACTTGGAAGGGTCACCACATCAAGGAGTTGCTCTAGTTATACCTTGGATCACCTAAAATGCTGAGGTCTTGATAGTCTCCAGCTCATTCTTTAATTTCACAAATTGACCCTGGCTCCCCATCTCAGTCCTGTGAGTAACCCCAGAGCTTCATGTCCCAGGCATGCAGAAACTCAGTATCTCTGTGCTGTGCATGGGAGATGGTATTGCAGCATATGTAGACATACCTGAGCTAGCACTGATATAGTTACATCAAAGCTAGCTTGCATAGCAGCAGCATGGATGGTCCAGGGCTAGCCTATGCAGCTGCTACTGCTGCTATTGCCAGGTTTCAGAGTAGCAACCATGTTAGTCTGTATTCACAAAAAGAAAAGGAGGACTTGTGGCACCTTAGAGACTAACAAATTTATCTGAGCATAAGCTTTCGTGAGCTGTAGCTCACGAAAGCTTATGCTCAAATAAATGTTAGTCTCTAAGGTGCCACAAGTCCTCCTTTTCTCTTTGCTATTATTGAGCTAGCTTAGCTCTGTCTGTACATGCTGCCTATCAGGATAAAAACCCTGCCCTGTAAATTAAGGTGCACTAATCAGAAGACCGCACTTGTGCTATCACCAGAGGGTTGTGAAAGTGTACATGGGATTCTGACTGCCCTGGGGAGCCAGAGGAGAGCTCACTTAGAATGCTTGCTAGTTAAGCATAGATGTGAGGGCCCCCCAGGTAGCACCTCTTTGTATGTCTGGCTGAGATGGAGAGTCAGGGATTGAATCCCTAGACAGAGGTCAGGTTAAGGACTCTGGTCATCTACTGTGTGTATCCTACAGCAGCTATTGCAGGGTTTCTGCAAGGACATCAGTCTAAACAAATGTTACTGCCACACTGTGCAAATTCCAGCCAACAAACTGAAAATGCTCATTATGCACTTTGACTAAATTTCAGGTTCTGTTACTGCTCCTGATCTCCCCTGCCCTGTTGATATTTAAAAAAAACGACTTGAGCCAAAGAGCTGTCAAATGAATCACGGACACAAATGGAGGAAATTTTTTTTTTGGTCCTGGGTTTGTGACAACAGTACAACATAGGGAAAAACTTTTCACAACTGTATTTAAAAAACAATAACAGTGAGGCCAAGAGATTAGCATGGTTTGGAAAAATAGCTACAAACCTTTTTGCTTCAGGGCATAAGCCAGCCCCTGTCTGGAATGAGGCAGAAACCACTCCTTTGGGCATAATTGTCTGTGTAATAGGGTTTTACAACAGCTTCCTCTAGACCATTGATCTGGTATGGCAATACCCATCTTCCATAAAGTGCTACATAGTGAAGCCTAATTTTTACTTAATTTTCCATCTTTATAGTTAATTTTTAGCTCGTGTAAAATTAAGTTGGAGACAGCAAAATGGAGAACAAGACCCAGAGCTATGTTGTGCCACTTTGACTATAAGGGGTTTTAAAATTTGTTATATATGTGATAGCATGAAAATAACATATTTATTTAAATTGTGTAATGTAAAAAAGCCACCATTATATTATAGAATAAGGCTGTATTGCATTCTGATGTAAATGGCCTCATCACCCATTAATACACCATTCCATCTTTGAATGTGAGTATAATTGTAGACATGCTTGCTTATCACTGACAAATCAAGGTTCCAGTAGTAAAAAGCCAGCTCTCAGGGCTTCAGCAACTTAAGTGTGTCCTGGAGCCAGGTGCTTTTTCTTAATTTGCTGTGGCTATCTGCCAGCAGCACCAGGGTTGGCTCCAGTCCCTCTTGACAGTTGCATCTTCTAATCAAACATCTGGAGATGTCTTACCAATAAATGCTCAAATTCCAGCATATGATTAAGTATGTTTAAACACAGAGGGTGTCAATTCTGGCTCATGTGCATGAATATTGGTACTGGTGCCCTGCTATATACATTCTATAAAAAGTATCTTTGTTTTTAAAGGAAGCTGCAATGGCCAAGCTAGCTGCATCAGAGGCTGCAACTGCCATTTCCCATCAGGTAAGAATCTCTCCCTTCTTACCTCTCTAAGGCTAGTCTGAGAGTGGTCTCTGCTCCTGCTGTAACACACAAGGGGAGCCTGGGGGATAAGCTTGTCTAAATGTGACTCTTATAACTGATGGATAATAGCTGTTTATCTATTTAAATGTCAGAGTTGTGGAAAGTTAGACAAACCTTTGTACTGGTGACCCCTTTCACATAGCAAGCCTCTGAGTGCAGCCCCCCCCATAAATTAAAACCCCTTTTTAACACCATTATACATGTTGAAGTGGGGTTTGGGGTGGAGGCTGACAGCTCATGACCCCCTTATAAAGCTTTGTCAACATGGTAAGTAAATATCCTCCCATCAAACATAGTTCTCAAGCAGTTGGTGAAGTGCCCAATTATCTATTTAAAAACCTAATCCTTCCAAGCCTAAAATTATCTATAAAAGAAAGAGCTTAACTTTCTTGCTGAGGAACTAAGTTTTGTATATACACCCTATAAAGTATTCCTCTCTGGCCTTGGTGCTTACATCTGTTTAAAGGCTGTGGGCTATTCTGTCCCCTGTGTAAAGTCCCTTCAGCTGCTAGGCCTAGAACTGTATGGCAGGCTCGAAGCCCATGCAGAGTTATTCAGGGCAATGGTGAAATATGCTACTGTTTAGGTAAACACCACTTCAGTTTCTGTGCCTTTGACTAATGCTGTTATCAGCTACAGGGAGGGTGAATAACTCAAGACTGTGTCCTTGGTACAACATAATTTGCCTCAATCTTGCATCATGCTCCCTGCAGGGTGTGCTGGATGCCTAATCAACAAGCCTTTTGATCCCAGCATTGGCATCTATGGCCTGGACTTCAGCTTTGCTGACAAACTCAAAACTGGCTTCAGCAGAAGTATGATGGCATCATCCTTCCTGGCAAATGAGTAGTTCCAGTTACCAAAAATGCTAATATTTTCTACCATTTACAGAGAAGGGGTCCATGAGGTGCCAGCATGACTGATATACCATGTGACCTCTCTGGTTGCTACTAGACTAGGGTCACTCACATGAGGATTGCACCATAAAGGCAATGTCCCTTGGAGCCTACTAGTTTGGTGGGAACAATGCACCAATTCTTTGATGTAAGACTCACTGCTTTTGTTTTAGGCCATCCAGATCCTGGGAGGGATGGGCTACGTAACAGAAATGCCAGCAGAACGCCATTACCGGGATGCTCGAATCACAGAAATCTATGAGGGGACAAGTGAGATCCAGAGACTAGTGATAGCAGGGCAACTGCTGAAGGAATATCGTGGGTGAAGAAGAGCGAGATCAACTTAAGTGCCTTATAACAACTGCAGAAGGGCTCCTAGCCTTTGTCCTGGATGAAATGAAGTGGAAATTCCCTCATATCCTTAATCACCGCCCCTCTTTGAGAAAGGGGATTGGCCAACCCAATTGAATTGCCTTTGTAAGGGTTTAGGGCCAAAAGTCAAAGGGAGAAGCAGCATCTATTTTAAGCAGGTATAGTTTCAACTCTGTTCTCTTACAAAATCTATGGAATCAGTCTTTAGCCCTGCCAGCTAAGATTTAGTTCCCCTCACAGGGTGCTTGGTAACTAATGAATAGTAGGTATCCCCATGATTTCATAAAACTTCAAGGCCTTATGAGGGTATAATGCACAGGCAGGACATTTGAAGTTTTATTTTAGTACCTGAATGTGGACTATATTTTCTAAAATTGTGTTGGTTGGTGGGTGATCTGGTTGCACTACCTCATCAGGTTTGCTCACTAATGAATTCCAAGTGTTTGACTGTGCTAGCTGTGAGCTCTCATTAGATGGATTTTCCCTTAATTACTGCAGCAAAGGGTGGGTAGTACCTGGCTTGTTCTCACAGGATGAAAGCAAGTTGAGTTAAAGCACTTGTAGGCTGTGGCTTTTTTAAAACAGCACACATTCAGTACCTACTCAAGAGTGTTGCCCATATGCCTTGTCACCACTAAGACATTAAAATGCATAGAGATAGAGTTAACTGCCCAGGTTCCTGGCTTCTCAACCAGCCATTACTTGACAGTAACTTCTTCCCAAAAGTAAATTATCAAACCTTATATTTCTTTCAGTTTAGGATATTAGTGAAAGCAGCAGCTCTTTACACTAAAGATTTTTAAACTGCACACACTCGAACCACCCTTTGAAAAGGAATGCAGCATCTGGACTATAGCTGTTAGTCCTAATTACTAACCATTCTTTTTGAGGGAGGGGCTATTTTTGCATTAATTACACACTGACCAGCCATACACTTAAACGTCACTGTGTGAAAACCTTGTTTCCAGCTACAAGCTTGATGGGAAGATGACTTCACAGCAGCTGGTCTTAAACGAACATACTTGAAGACTAACTCAAATTGGGGTTACTCTCCTTCCCTTTTGAAGGAAAGCTCACACATTACTGGTCACAGGGGCCATAAGAAATATTTTCCTGAAGCCCACTAGGGGGCAGCTTAGCGCTTTAGGAAAAAATCTTGTGGCTTTTGAAAGCTAGTGCAAAAAAGGAAATATAGGGATGGCTAACCAGGCAGGAAGTGGAACAAACCTGCTATTTCTGGTTAAAAACCCCAGAGAAATGTAAATGCTAATTAATCAAGTAAGTTGAACGAAGACTCCATGTTCGCTCCACACAAAAGCAGCATCTGGAAGTTCAAAGCCTGTTGAAGGGAAACAGCCTTAGTAACATGCAGAAATCAAATCACTCATTTGTATTAAGACAAATATGGTATTTATAGCTTTCCCAACTCTGTCACTATGTGTAACTGTCCAATTTCTTCTATTTGGGAAGTAGAAAACATATTTCTACAACATTTGGGACCTACAGTTCTGGCTGGACTGCAGATCTGTTTGTCTTGCTGTTGAAACAAAGCAGCTCTGGTAAAAGTCCCTTCTTACAGTTTTAAGACTGAATTCAGAGTCTTGTGGCTGCTGTTTTCTCCTAGTTATAGCTCTGTATACTACCATAAATTATTTCTCTTCATTCTTGGCAACTTCCAAATGGTTGTAGTCTCATGTCCCACCTTGTTTACTGGAAGCTATATATATTCACTTCTTACAAGGGGGCAGTTAACTTAAACAGTTGCTGTCCAAAAGTAACATTTCCTAAATTACTGTAACTGAAAGTTAAGAGGAGAGCATCTCTATTTTTTCTCCCAAGTTGTTGTTGGCAGGCTTCCCCCCACATTTTAAAACTTGAGCTAACTGTGCTGTGATGACACCCTAAACCATCCATGATCAGCAACAGACACTGAGTTTGAGGAGCTTCAGGACAGTGAAGGGCTTACATGTTTAACCAGGCCTCTCAGGGTATGTCTGCACTGCCATTAAAAACCCATGGCTGGCCTGTGCCAGCTGACTGGGGCTTGTAGGTCTCAGCTAAGGGGCGGTTTAATTGCAGTGTAGACATTCAGGCTTGAGCTGGAGCACTGGGTCTAGCACCCTGCAAGGTGGGAGGGTCCTAGAGCTCATGCAAGCCCAGATATCCACACCACAATTATAGCCCAAGTCAGCTGGCCTGGGCCAGCTGCAGGTGTCTAATTGCAACATAGATGTACCTTCACAAGCTGCAATGACTTGGCTGAAGTAACTACTTGAGGTCAGTAACACACCTAATCCCACATTGGTGGGTGCTGAACAGAAAAACATATCAAATTATAAGCTTTTGCTGTAGATAGGCTGCACCCAGCTCAGAGAACTCACTGACTAACCATGTAACTATATGAACACGGTCACATAGGTCATGTCCAGGCTTATGAAAATTTAAAATACTCCAGTGTACTTCCCTCTTCTGTTACCTCAAACATGCCTCACAAAGGATGGGAAGAGATGGTGCTGGAAAGCTTTTTCCAGCCCTAACTGCTGTAGTTATGGACTGGGACCAGTATATCTTAATGCTTACAATGCTGCCGCTGTTCCAGCATGCTGGCCAACTGAATATACTCAGGGGCAAGTAAACCCTGGAAGTACCTACATGCAAGGCCTGCCACAGCTCTTATGGCAATCTGATGACACAGGAGCAAACCACTAAATCTCATTTTGCTAAGCAGCTACTGTTTGCGATCAGCTGCTTTAGAAGGTAAGTCTCTGTTACAGACAAAGCAGGAAAAGACTGCTGCATTTACAAAAACAAACATTTTGCAAGATTCAGCAGGGGGATTTTAAGAAGAGAGATCTCCCCCTTCCCGCAGGAAGCACTAACCTGCCTAGAACAAGGATAGGTGGGCCAGGCCAGCCTTTGAGAAGAGGCTGTGTTTATGGGTGAAGTCATGTTTTTAGTGGTTTATGAGCCGAGCCAAGCCAAAGCCCCAAAATTGGGGCCCTGGAAAGATCACACTGGAGGAGAGGAGAAGGGCACAGCTGTGCTTTCCATTCCATTTCACAGGACTTTGGCTTGTTGCCCTATGAAGTTGTAAGTGAACAGGAAATTAGGTACTAGATAAGACTATTGGGAATGAGGGAAAAACCTTAAGAGATTTTCACACACAGGTGAGGAACACATTAGCGAACACGCTTGTTCTAGGGCAGGGAGAACTGGTCAGATGAAAGCAGTTGGGCTGCTCTTGCTTGCCTTGTGTTTGGGAAACGCCTTGCAAGGAATAAGAGCTTAGCTCTGCACTGGAAGCACTGCTGAAACTTTGTCCCCTTCCCTACAACTGTAGATGGAGAGACTGCTCGTCTTAGTGTTTTCAAAAATTTTCCCTCCCCCCACCCCATATAAAGAGTATGGATACCCATACATAAAGCAGGCAGTCTCTCTGTTCAGACTGAGCCAGAGACAAGTTGCTCTGGCTCATCACACCTAAATGTGCATTCATCACACACAAGTGAAGACCCCACTGATGTTTTATTATTTCTGTTTCCCCTGAAGAGTTAACTGGGGTGATTGGCTCCTGGCTGTGAGCAGCCACACCGGACTTACTATGTCCTCAGTGGCGCTGCACTCATCTGTGTGGGTCACTAGGATTTCTAGGGGCATATCCCATGGTTCTTTGTACTGCAGCAAGCTGGGCTATTTATCCCCAGTGAATTGTTGGAGATGTCATCTGTCCTTCTGGATACATGGGGGAATTGTAGGAAAGCACAGAGGACAATCAGCACTCAAGTGGATTCGCCTGTGTCTTCACACCCAAGTGGATGGGTTACCAGCTCAAGTGAAAGCAGCACCTGCGTTTTAACCTATATCCCCCAGAAGACGAGCTAGTCTGGATTGAAAATATCATGAAACTTGTGTGAGAGGGTTGTGCATGTGGACAGGGGCAATACTTGAGTAAACAGCCTGAGGTAACTCTGCAGTGAAGAGACACCCTAAATGTACAGTAAGAGAAATCCACTCTCAGCAATTAAAGAACAACCCATTACAGAGATAAAATAGTCCAGTGGGTAGAGCAGGGGCCTGGCAATCAAGATTATGGGTTTCCTTCCTCACTGCTATAGCTTTGTTGGGTTATCTTGCGCAAGACACTTTACTGCATGGCTCACTTTAGAGATCTGTAAAGAGGTGATAACACGTACCAATGTTTCAGACTTAAGTAGTGGGCGTAAAGCACTTGAGAGCATCGGATGGAAGTCATTGTAGATATAAGAAATTATTATTGCACAAGGATCCGTCTCCTTTCTTTGAGTCTTTTTTTGGCATTGTCTCATCTGCAGTTTGAGGAGAATAAAAGTAGCCATCATCATCATCATGATCAAGGCTGCGAGTTTGTCACAGAACTCATCGATACCATGACCATGACTTCTGCAGCGGCTGGAGCACCTCCCCTGGGGGCTGCCTGAGGAGCTCAGGCAGCCCCTGGGCCAGCTGCACTGACTGCTGCTGGGGCAGTCTTGGGCCACCGCCCCCAGCGGGAGTTGGGGGGCGGGGGGGGGCTGTGGGTCAGGGCTGGGGTTTGGGAGGGGGTGAGGGTTCCCGGCAGTACTTACCTCAGAGGGGCTCCCCAGAAGTTGCGACAGCCTCTGCTCCTAGGCATAGGCACAGCCAGGGACTCTGCACACTGGCTCCGTCCCCACAACTCCCATTGGCTGCGGTTCCTGGCCAATGGGAGCTGCCGAGGCAGCGCATAGAGCTGCCTGGCCACGCCTCTGCCTAGAAGCAGAGGGAGGGGGACGTTGCCACTTCTAGGGAGTTGTGGAGCCAGGCAGCCTGCCAGCCCCCACCAACACCCCTTCCCCCAGCACTAACGGGAGTCCCGGGCCGCCCCCTCCACCCAGCCAAGATTCAGTTAGGGGTATATAGTACAAATCATGGACAGGTAATGGGCTGTGAATTTTTGTTTATTGCCCTGACTTGTCCATGACTTTTACTAAAAATATCTGAGACTAAAACAGCCCTAATCATGTTCAAGCTGAAGACGCCACACAGCAGGAATATGTTAAAATGTTTCAAGTACTCAACCTATGCATTTTTTTCCCCAAATGCAGCTTAAAAATAAGGTGTCACTATGCTGCCCTCCAGTAACAACTGAATACTCTAACAGAGGTATCCATTAGGGGTTGATTGTAGGTCCACTCTTATTTAATATTTTCATGAATTTACAAGTTACATTTGCAAGGGACAGTAAATTTGGAGTAGCAAAAATCTGTGAGAGCAAATAAAAATGGACCTGGACCTAAAGATTAGAGAAAATGAGATGCAACTTGGACATGTCATCATTTGGGTAAAACTAACCACTATTATATTCAATAAGGGGAAAATCTGGGGCAGGGAATGACACTCAGTGATTTAAGGGCAATGGCAGACTGCAATATAAAAGGACGACAGCAGCAGCCAACACAATTTTGGGGCTGCATTTACAAACATACCGTTACAAAGCACACAGACACTGCGTTTTCTCTAGCTCTGGTTATGCATCTATTTTTGAGCACCCAGATGTGCTGGGCACGTCACAGAAACAAGTACAGATGTGACCACACCTGTTATATAGAATTAAATACCAGGCACCTCATTATCAAAGTAACTGCAGATAACAAAAAGGTCCTGGAGGGACTGATTTACTGGAAAAGATTAAGAGTTCACTAAGTACTGGATTGGCTAAGAAACAGCTTTGTGGGGGATAGAATAGTAAAAAATGGGAAAGGTACAAGCAGCTAAGAAGGGAGAGAAGTTTACGATAATATATGGGGGAAACGTAGAAGTGTAGGATTAGAAAGGACCTCAATAGGTCTTCTAATCCAGTCCTCTGTGCTCAAGGGAGGACAACTAAGGGAATAACTAAGGAATAACAGAGTAAAAGGATTAAAAAAAAAAACCCACAACCATTTTAGATCAAATGTCAGGAAAAGCTTCCCGACAGTAACAGCTATCAGGCTGCGAAATATTCTCTAAGGGAAGTGATAACAATTCTACCCCTTGAACATTTCAAAATAGACTGCAACACAAGCAAATAGACAATAGGAAACAATCCTGCAGTGGCAGGAAAATTTGACTACATGACCCAATAGATCTTTTCTATCTCTAACTTCTACAGTTCATTAGACATTCCATTTTTATGGAAAACTGCAGACTGGAACGTGTTTTAGGGGAAAACCAAGAAAACGTTACAAAAGACACACTGAAGACCAACCTCCAATCTTGCAACGTTGACCTCAGCACCTGGGAGATCTTAGCCCATGACAAGATTTGACAGCAGCAGCCCTGCCACCTCAGACTGGAAGATTTTGAGAGCTTGTGGATTTCTGCAATCAAGGAGAGACGTGTGAGATGCAACAAGCTAAAAGCAGCACTAATTCATCTACAAACATCTTTACCTCTGGCACTTGCGGAGGCGGCTGCAGGTCCAAAATCAGTCTTTGGTCTTGTCAAGGTTCCTTCCCCACTCTGAACTCTAGGGTACAGATGTGGGGACCTGCATGAAAACCTCCTAAGCTTACTTTTTACCAGCTTAGGTTAAAACTTCCCCAAGGTATAAACTATTTTACCCTTTGCCCTTGGACTTCCACTGCCACCACCAAACGTTTATCTGGGTGTATTGGGAAAACGTTTGGAAACGTCTTTCCCCCCAAAATCCTCCCAACCCTTGCACCCCACTTCCTGGGGAAGGTTTGTAAAAATCCTCACCAATTTGCATAGGTGACCACACCCCCAAACCCTTGGATCTTAGAACAATGAAAAAAACATTCAGTTCTTGAAAAGAAACATTTTAATAGAAGAAACAGTGAAAAGAATCACCTCTGTAAAATCAGGATGGTAAATACCTTAAAGGGTAATTAGATTCAAAACATAGAGAATCCCTCTAGGCAAAACTTTAAGTTACAAAAAGAGACACAGACAGGAATATTCATTCTATTCAGCACAGCTATTTTCTCAGCCATTTAAAGAAATCATAATCTAACACATATCTAGCTAGATTACTTACTAAGTTTTAAGACTCCATTCCTGTTCTGTCCCCGGCAAAAGTATCACACAGACAGACACAGACCCTTTGTTTTTCTCCTTCCTCCCAGCTTTTGAAAGTATCTTGTCTCCTCATTGGTCATTTTGGTCAGGTGCCAGCGAGATTATCCTAGCTTCTTAACCCTTTACAGGTGAAAGGATTTTTCCTCTGGCCAGGAGGGATTTTAAAGGTGTTTACCCTTCCCTTTATATTTATGATAGGTCTCATCTCAGGACCCACAATAAGTGACTGTTGCTCATCCATCAAACTCAACTGGAGACTTCATCATATGTAGATGAAGCCTTCCCCGCCACCCCACCAAAAGAGGTCAACATGTAGTTGATTAAGTGATCCAGCAGTACATATCTATTTCCTAATTAACCATAGGAATGCAGGGGTGAAAGGGACCTCGAGAGGTCATCTAGTCCAGCCCATTGCACTGGGGGCCAAATAGACAAATACCTGTCAAGTAGGGCCTAGGTATAATGATTTTCAATGATATTTCTCCTTCTCAGCAAAAAGAAGGGCTTCCAATGAAAAGCCCAGGAAATGTCCTCAGTGAATAGTCCTACATCAGAGGCAACAAAAGGAAAAGCAGGATTTTCAAGAATGCCCATCCACTGGGCACAAGGAGGATGAAGCTTTAATACAGTACTTCTGGCATTTGATAGGTTAGTTATGCATCACTTAAAGAAAAAACCTTCCCTCAAGTTTGCATTATGCACAACTCTGTCCCTGCAGTGGTAGCACTGGACACCAAGTTGTTCTGTACGTTTTCTTTGCAGTATGGGCTTCTCTCAAAGGGGCTAGTAGCAGAGTTTGGAAACAGTGCATAAGAAAGGAGCCAACAGAACATTTTTCTAATACCGCTTGGCTGGACAATATTGGACACAACGTCGCCAGCCTGTATTTCTACCAGTTTGTCCACACTGGCTGGTCAAGCAGTTGGAAACAGATTTAATAAGAAGAAAAGGAGGACTTGTGGCACCTTAGAGACTAACCAATTTATTTGAGCATAAGCTTTCGTGAGCTACAGCTCACGTCATCGGATTTAAATAAGAACTCTGTTTAGATAGAATTTACACCCAGATTCTTAACTCCGATTAACTTAAATTTATTTTATATGCTTTGGGGCTGTAGGGGCACAACCTAATGAAAGAAAACAAAAAGAGGGAGAAAATTAAGACATGTCATGGCTAAGAAAGCACAGGGGCTGGAACTGTTCGACGTTACATTTCAGATGAATGAGTGCAGCACCTTTAACAACTTGCAGGTGTTTTCTAAACATAGAAATTTTCATTCAAGACATCAGGAGGAATGTGACCTTACAGGTGACCCACATAATGAGAAACTTTACAGTCTGATGCTGAATATCACTAAACAAGCAGTATAAAGCATTTATTAAACAGCAGATTTCACATTAATTCATAAGTTAACCATTCCAGACATCCTAGTTCAGGATGGTGCGAGACACATCGTATACTAATGATGTCCCATAGAACATTGCTGCCAACAGGCTCTGGCTCATAGCATTATCTAAGCTTTGGTCTACAATAGGTGGGGATTGATCTAAGTTATGCAACTTCAGCTACATGAATAACGTAGCTGAAGTCGATGTACTTATATTGACTTACCGTGGTGTCTCCACCGCAGTGAGTCAACTGCTGATGCTCCCCTGTCGACTCTGTTTGCGCCTCTCACAGCAGTGGAGTACAGGAGTGATGGGAGAGCGCTCAGTGATCGATTTATCGCATCTAGACTAGATGCAATAAATCAATCCCCGCTGGATCAATCGCTGCCCACAGACCTGGCAGGTGGTGAAGACATACCTTAAGTAAAATTATATTTATATACTATTGTACTAGCTATACATTTTTGGTAATATTCTTTTATTTAGCAAAGTTTTTAAGTATCCTAAGTAGCACAATTAAAAAACTGTCCTGCTTAGATGCAGTCAACTAACAGATAAACCAAAGTGACCTGGCTGGACCTTGCATTGTCAGTTCTGGATTCCACTGAAGAGATCTGTGTCAAACATATAACACAACTCTAAGTCACTGGATAGATTTAACCCATTTAAAAAACAAAAGGTGGAAATAACACAACTACCACTTGGGTCCTAGTTGTGATCTTGGACCGTGAGAAGCCTTCTGAAATCCAGAGAATCCAAAGAAGCTTGCAGACTGGCCGAACAGTAAGCTTGAGAGATGCCAAAAGAATTTGCCAGATCAAAAAGCCAAGGACAGAAAGTACTCTGCTCAGAGAAAGCCTGACAGCATAAGGAAGTAAAACAAGGGGGCTATTTTTACTTT